TACCGTTTTTGGTATGTGTTTTTGTACAGATTGCAACATAAAATTACGTACAAATATTGCGTCATCGTCTTCACGTATGGTAATAAGTACTATAAATGTGCCATTATTTGTTACATCAGCAATAGTGACATTAACATTGCGGTTTGCGTCAAAGGAAAGCTAGGAGACTATCATAGTAACAATTCTTGTAAGACATATTTGCTTTTTGAAAGCCTCACTTTAAGAATTTTCTCACGCGATTCTTATCAGATGTGTGCGTCATTTAACCCGGCGATAAGGCAAAAATAGAAAATAACTGACATTACTTCTTGGCGAATTTACCCTTTGTTCTTTATGTACGAATTAGTTATTACACAAATGCTTGAGAGAATAGAATGGTTCTTTTTGACAACAGGATACAGACTTTTCCCTTATGCAACTGTATTAAACATCTATGAATTTTCAACCAATGGCCGAATTTTATTGAGATTACATCCTAGTTTTTTTTAATCAATCATCTACAACACAACCGAACAAACCAAGAGTTTGAGAATGTATTGTACACTGGCCTCTTAGCAACATTTGCTTCTGTTTTCTATCCCATCCACTATACCAATAGGTGATCTCGACAGATAAGCATTACAATTGGATTTGGATTTATATCTGAATGCAAAAAAATTCTTCAAAGGTTTTGAATAAATTGGAATATTTTGGGGACAGAAAAACAACTAAAGTTCACCCGTTTTCGAATTCCCACTCTTCTCTAACCGTGGTATATATTTGCAATTTTCACATTTCTTTTTATGAACTGTAAATGGTTGTAACACCGGAAATGGGTGACATTTTTCAATAAAGAGGTACCCCACTAACGTATCCAGAATTGACATCTGTAGTAGCTGAAAAGGAACAATGCTCTGTTGGATATTATACTTTTGTTTTGTTTAGGTCGGATAATGTTTTTGTTTACATGGCGAGAAGAACTTAAAATGACAATCACGTGTCCTATGTTGGAGCTGGCGGTAGATGAGCGGAGGTATGAAGGAGTTGTTTGTTAGACGAAGGTTGCATCGCCACCTTAAATAGCTTTCGCGACATGTCAAGCTAACGCGATTTATGTGATTTAATAGTCTAGCGTTAAGTTAGTTAACTTACAAACTATTATATGGACCTGGGGAGTAATTTTCACTCCAGAATTTTTTTCCTACACTACCCATACCACAGAGACATTATCGTGTGTAATTATGGAAATCAGCTTTATATGGCTGTATCCATTGATAAGCCAAGGTTGTTACGCTTTGAATTATGAATAACGAGATGATAGGATGATAATGAGAGGTGATGGGACAATCACAAATACGACACCATGCCTAGACAGGACTCGAATTTGCGGCTTCTCCGGCGCAGACGACGGCTGCCGCAACCGTCTGCGCCACAGGGAAGAATTCGTATTGTTATTATTATTATTATTATTATTATTATTATTATTATTATTATTATTATTATTATTATTATTAGTATTAGTATTATTAGTATTATTAAGAGCAACTGTGACCGAGAAAATCTACGTTTTCAATGAAATTTCTATCTAAACTGATTTACCCGTTCCTGAAATTAATCCTGTCATCCGGATAAAACTGTAAAAACTGTTGTACAGTTTTATATTCTCTTTATGACAAAAGGAGCTTAAACAGCTTTCATAGACACATTTTATTGAAAAATAAAATAAATTCTCAAATATTGGTTTGAGGGAATGTAAAGTACTTTTATATAAGTACGCACTATTTCTAAAAACGTGCTTATACACGCTTATTGGAAGTAATGGACCTGTTGGGTAGTATTCTGAAAAGATAACTATAAAACTTAATTCTTTTTGTAAACATGTTTGTTATGTAATGAAATGATATGTAAAATTAAAACTTATAGAGCATTATTTTGTGATGTTTCGCATTTTCAAAAAAAGTATTATTCTTATAATTATAAAACCTGCAAATATATCGACGGATTTCTCTAAAGTATTTTGAAAAATAAATAACAGAATATTGTTTATTTGTGTAAAAGGGCATGTAAATGAAATTTAGGGTGTTTTTTGTGTGTGTTCATATTCACTTCTTGTTCTCATTGTTCCTACAGTATTTGGAAAGAAGATTCGGCAAGGAAGCACGTCTTATTGGTTCGGTGCTGTTTGCCATTGGAATCGTGAGTTTCATTTTAATTAATGTAATTTACGAAAACTCTAATAAAATAATCCACGGCTTTGTTGAAGAAAATCTTATATTAAAATTTTGTATATATATAATACAAAATCAATTAATAGTAGCAACCGATAGTCATCCTGGTTCCACCATCTTTCATTTCAAGCACAAAATTCCGAAATGTGGTCGAGCAGAAACCTCAAACATGTTTATAAACGCAGGCTCTTAGTGTATTTAATATAAAGTTTTTTTGCAATTTTGTAAGGAGTTTCTGGAAAGTACCTCGAATATTAAATTATCTTAATGATCTCACGACACAGTTAAATCTTTCTCCTAAAGTAATTACCAAGTTTCAGCTCAAAGGCTTCTAATATGACAGATTTGTTCACGTCTCATTCATTCAAATCCATGAATAAAGGCGCTCCAATTTTTTGATACAAAAATTAGATTATCACCTCTCCACCTGCAACGGCCTTAACAATCTTTGGTACTGCACTTATATTTCTCAATCCCGACGTGTGTGCAAATTTACGACTCAAAGAACCTTAAACAGTGATTTTACGACCAAAAGTTCGAAATATACCCTCTGAGGCGATTCGAATACTTTTTCTGTAGGGAAAACAAGTAAAACTTCCTTATAAGCACTGAAATTGTGTCAATTTACTAAATTTTTAAAGAGCACGGTAAAATATGAATTGGTATAAAAACGTGAACATTGATCCTAGCTCCAAGCCCTGTTTATAAAAGGAGCAAAATAAGGACAACCTAAAATACTTAACAACAGAAAGAGCTTTTTAAGATAAATCCGAAAGATTCGTGTGACTAAAAAGCGCCAAAATTCAAAATTCTGAATCGTTCGAAAGCACTCGGTCACACGCGGGTCCTCGTGCCTTCCACCATGATCCACGAGGTGCTCTTGTGTTGCAGATCACGTGGATCCCGATTGTCATCTACGTCCCAGCTCTCGCCTTCAATCAAGGTAACGAGCGCCGACGCGGCGCGCCGCGGCGGGCGGCGGCGGGGGCGGGGGGGTGAGGGGTGGAGGGGCGGAAGTGGGCGCTCAGTGCTCTGTAAATAGCCCGCAACCTCTCAGCGGGCGCTGCCCTAATGGGCAGCAATGACCGCCTGAGGGGCGGCGTGAGCTTGAAACGGCCGTGACGGTCAGGGCCAGGTCCATTGGCGACGAGACGACCCCGCGAGCGGGGAGGAAATGCTCACTTGGACTTTCGGTTAGGTGGTATGTGCTGTTCCACTTGGCGGCGGTTTTTGTGCTGTAATTTTGTTTAGCCACTAATAAAATCAGTTCTTTAAGGGGATGGGTAGCGTACTGAACGTTGAATTGTTAGCACCGGGGCTAAAAACGAGATGGTGTTCAAGTATTCAGATAAATTTGTGAATGCAACAAACAAAACAAAATACTTATGTCTGAACGCAACAGCTGCTACTGACCTTAAAGTATCATTAAGTGATATACGAACTTGAATTAACATAAAATTAAAGCACGTCTGTCAAAAATAGTGTATAACACACGTGGGAAAAATCATTATATTTTGCTCGTAGGATTTCACCAGTTGGTCCATTGGCCTCATATCGCAACCTTTCTTACTGGCAAAATAAAATGTCACTTTAACCACTCACATCATAAATAAGTACTAATCTTTAGGGTTTTTGTTCAGGATTTCCTTTCTGTATTTTGAAGTATTTTATTTCTATATTTAAAGAGAGAGTAACGGTAACTCAAAAGAATCGTTAGTGAAAAAATAGAAACATTCCAGCGCTTTGTTATATCAAAATATTTTTACAACCGTGTTAAGTTGCTTCTCTTGCATAGTTCCAAGGGAATGGCAAGGCTCTGGTCTTTATACCAACGATTTATTTACGTTAAACATTCTTTGGTATGGTCCGTGGCAAATTTTCAATTCTTTGTCATGACGAAAAACAATGCATGCAGGTATTTTCCCGATCTCAATTTTCCTCGCAGGGATAAATTTCCCGCACACGCAGTGTCAAAGCTTAGGTAAAGTGATCTCCCTAAAAGAAATATTAATTCAAGTCTTAATTGAAACAATGTTGAGATATTGCTCAGAGTGAAACTAGATAGCGAACACGCTAAGCGATAGGTTATGAGACTGTGCGCGTGCACGAACTCTATCGTCACGCGATAGAAACACGAAACTACGGATTTCCATGTAGTTTATTATATCTTTTAGGAGAGACAATAAATGAAAAGAAGAAGAGAACTTAATGGAATTTTCTCTGAACTATTTCTGCCGAATGTGCTTTTTCTATATAGTGAAATTCTAAAAGCAAAAAGAAAACAAATGCGTTTTAGGAGGAAAAATGTTATGGAAAATCTATCAAAGCTCGAAGAATTAAATTTTCACTTAACACTATTTTCTTTTTGGTAATTGTAATTTTTGTACGCATATTAAAGAAGTATTTAGATTTATTAATTTGTTTTACAGATATACTACTCACGTATTGTAAGCCAAAGATCAAAATCGATCAGCTAAACATTGTTTATCTTTAAATATTTTAATTCCTAAATGAACTGTTTACTGCATATTTTTGGACAAACACTCCAATATTGACTTTTAATCAAGACCTTTCAAGCTGTTGTCATTTGCTCTCTACACTACAGTGGGATGTGTCGTAAACAATACAAAGAGCACCATAACACTTGCGGTTTTCTTTTATAAGGGACGACAAGAGTGCAAATCCCTTCGCGACAAACCCAGGCGAAAATGAAATATCCATAATCAGGGCGGGATTTGAACGCGAGTTGGTGAGCCAATACACGTTTACCGACTGCAATTCGTAATGGTCTATCAGTTACGTTTATTGAATTATTACGGTTATTAAATCTGCGAGTCTTTCGCGTCGTCTGTGCTGGTATTTTGAACTAACCGACATCACAATGAGTATTTCCAGCGTTGTTTTAAAATTTTTAAGTTAAAAAATATGGTCGCATTAACAGCTAGGTCATGAGCTACTATAGGTTAAAGATAGGGTTAACAGAATAATATATGGTGAAGGTGAGGGGTGAAAGGACGAGCACAAATGCATCCATGTCAGACGCGGGACACGAACCCGAGATCCTTCAGTCCGAGATCGCTACGACAATACTACCTTAACGATCTCGGCCAGCCGGAGGACTTCAGTGTCTTTGTTATACGTAAAGTGGGCCTGCTCACAGATAGTGGCATTTAATTCGTTACTTAATCTTTCGGCACTACAAATCGTTGGGAACATTACATCCTTCAAACCCAATCGACGCTATCTACCTGGACGGTGTCGATGGTATCAAGATCCCAGCAAAGCGTCTTGTATTTCACTGATATTTTCCTATCAGTGGCTGATCAGTGCCACTCACCTAAAGATGACTACGCAAGTCACTCCTCCAATTTCTGAGCAGTCTCTCAATATAATCGCCCACACAAACTTAAAAAATGCTATATTTCAGAACCACGTCGGTGTGACTATCGGAAATGTCCGCCAGTTCTAACAACTAGATCTAATGGTAATCAACGTACTAAAACCTTCCTCGACAAATTTCCATCCTACTTAACTATATAGGCTGCTTGAACATGAGTTTTTTGAATATTTTTTCATTATTATTCAATAGACATGTGAACTCGAATCTACACCAACCACGTTTTTTACAATGTTTCCTCGAAAACATCTCCTCGTGACCATCGAAACCAATTTTATGGCTATCATAAGGTAATATTATGGTCATTTCACTTGTACATATATTAAAGGGGAGGTCGTAACGTAACGGTAAGACATGGTTCAACGGTTTTCAGCGTCACTCGTTGTTTGATTTTCATTTGCTGATACTCTTTGTCACAATTCGAGTTAGAAATATCACTTTTACTTTAATAATCACCAAGTGGTCCATTCGTTTTCAAAATGATGAAGCAGTTGGGCCCAGAGTGCTATACAATATACCACATTTTCAAATATAAAATGTATGATTTATCAAAGTTTAATCAAGGACACATTGTAATGAGATATTTATAAGAATTATATTGTAATAACTCTTTTAAAATTACATTATTATTTTAGATTTTTTAAGATAATATTTTATATTTGAGAAAACGCAAATTACATTTACATCACAATATAATCACAAACCATTTCATCAGAATAGTATACATTATCTGTTTTCATGTAATGATTATTTATTTTCATCCCAGGATATACCATAGATATAAATTTATTTCTGCTCTACCAAAAACATTTGGTATAAAAAATTTCAACAAAACTAATAATAACCTTAGTTTTGCTTTACGTGAAACTTTTAAAATGCTTTTCTGTAGAATCGTTTTGTGGTTTGCAATTTTTGCAGTAAGTTCTTCTTTTTCTTATTACTAAATTGTTCATTGTGATTAGATTCTGAAATAAAATTATTGGCGGGTTGGTCTTAAACAATTTTTCACGTGTTCATGAAACTCAGTCGGGCTTTCTCTAGTTTCTTTTGTTTCAAACATCACATGCTGTGGTCCCTTTATTTAACTTTAAATAAATTTATACTTTATCTCTTTTTATATTCGGTGCAGCTTATCCAGTTATGGTCATAAAATATAAATATTTGTAACAAAACTATGAAATTATAGTGTTCTTTGTTGATGTGTGTTCTCAGTGACCGGTGTGAATGTTCATGTGGTCACACCACTAGTGTGCCTTGTGTGCATCTTCTACACTTGTGTGGTAAGTACAGTAACTATTATTAATGAATTATATGAAAATTGGCCAGATCACAAAATGAAATATTTACGAAGTATTACATACCTTGTAAAGCTTCCCTGAAGCAAAGGGGAACACGAATAGTATAGAAAACCAAAAACATTAAATGTTTAGGTTTGTATTATACAGTCGAACCTTTGGAATGACAAGGTTCGAACTGACAAAATCGAAGAAATTGTTACAGTGATACGGTTCTATTTCCTACAAGTAATACATACCGATACTGAAAGCCGATACTGAAAGTGATCAAATAGATACTGGTGAAGCGATGTCTGAGTATGTTGCGGGATGTAACCTTGACATCAAATGTTTCGAAAGGACTGAAATTAGTTGGAATTTTGTCGTTCCAAATATGTGCAATGGGTACTTGTAGTACACTAGCTCAAGTACAGACAAGAAAGAGATGAATTCAATTCGTTGTATGTTCCCGTCCAGCCCGATCTCATCTGTGCTTCCGAGGTAAAGACTAAGAAAGTATTTATTGCTGCAACGTATCCTGAGTTTAAAATCTGGGCTATATCATCATGGATGCAATGTACTGAAACAGAGAGAGATACCTTGTTTGTTCAGTTTGTACATGATAATTAATAATTTTAATAAATGATATATAATTTATAGTTCATGAACAGATTCTCAACTGTGTTTTCTCGTGTGTTCAGTATTGCCCAGACTATTCCCCACTGATATTGTTATTACGATTCTCGGTCGGGGGCGAAAACAGAGTTGTAGTTTTCGTTTAGAACCGCGCAGCCAACTCACTGGGCCAACAGTGTGTCAAGTGAATGTTGCGGCGCTGTGCTCGGTGCAGGGCGGGCTGAAGGCCGTCGTGTGGACGGACGTGGTGCAGACGGTGGCCATGTTCGGCTCCATGCTGCTGGTCATCGCCAAGGGCACCGCCGACGTGGGCGGCCTGGGCGTCGTGTGGAGCCGCAACTGGGAGAGCGGACGCATCGAGTCGCCCAGGTGAGCCCCACGCTCGTACGGCACCAAGCGGCTTTCGAAACCCCCCCGTTCATCCCTTGCTAAGATGGCTCAGGGCAACAACTGCGGGAGGAGTTGGGGTTCGAGTCCCGACGGAGGCAGAGTTTCGGCACTAATTAGATGGCTAGGTCAAATTCAGCTGCTGTCTCATGGAGAATTGTAGCGGTCGGCTGCTCTGATCGATAGTTTTCCGTGGTTTCCTCAATCGTTCTGAAACTAATACTCTAAGTGGGCCACGAACCACGCGCGAACTTTCCTTCCGCCTTCTTGTGTCCTCCTCTCCCTTACACATGCACTTAAACTTACATGCACTACACTCTCACATATTGAGAGACCAGACCCGTCAGTAGAGCTTGTCCCAGCTTTATTGAACACCAGAAAGAAAGAGGCAGAACATTTGTTGTCAATATAAAACTATTTTATAAAATTTAAACGATATCACATTTTATGAGAACGCACAATATTCACAGCCAAATTGAATGAAATCTTTATCGCGTTTGTTCTGTCGGGTAATGAACTGTGAGTAGTTTCATAACTCAATGGTTATTGAAAAATATTACTGTAGTATTTTCGAAATGATTCGTTCAGAATTTAATTTTGAACTCTTGAGAAAACGCAAAACATTGCTAATGGAAAAGTACTCAAAGAAGCATGAAGATTTACGAATACGGTGAAAGCTTGAGACGATTATCTCATTTAACGGTATAAAACGTTTTAGCTTCCCTTCGAGTAACCAAAAACCTTTTGAACTCATCTTTTGGAAGTCGACTCAACGATTTTGAGGATGAGAAGTTTCTCATAACAGAAAAACATTAATATATTCGAAACAGAAACATGATACAGCAAACGAGCCGATAACGAGCCTAAATAAGATGTTTTTATAATCATCTAAAAACAAAATGTGAATTCCTGTGAATTAGGTCATGGCTTTCTAAATCTTCAAGTTTTGGTTAGGATGGTCATGTGAAGTTCACTACTGATATCCTTTAAAGCTATCTTAACTCTCTACTATCAGCAGAACCAAGATTGCTAAAGTAAAGCCAGATAAGGTTGATACAGTATCTGACGTTTTCAAATTTACACATAGTGTTTATCTGAAACCGGAATACTATTTCTTTAGCAGTGTTTTACTTCAATTACAAATTGCAATCTCTATAAATCACCCATCTGAAATATTTAGAAATACGTTTTCATTAAATGTTTCAAAACTGATGCAAAATAGTAGATTATGTAACAAGGGTGCGAATCACCTCGCGCCTGTGCTGCGTAAACTATTTTTTAACACGCCACCGCCGCAGTGCGTCAAATAATGAAACAATAAATTAAACACTCGTAATAAATAAATAGAAATACCTTACATGAACAAAAGTAAATGGATTCCTGTCAGTATCGTAGTACAATTTTTGGTGTATAATAAACAAAGACGTCGTGAAGATGAAAGATAATTGCGAATCGTTACAGATGTTTCGAACGCAGTGAAAAGATTAGCCGCTTAGCAAACAGAAAAAAGCACAAACACCGCGTTTCGCGAAGGGCGTGTTAAAAAAACATTATTGTCAGTGATGTCTTCTTTTGACTCAGTGACCATAGTCTACATGTAAATAGTTTAATGAAGTTCAATTGTATGAAGTGGTTCATAGATAGTGTATTTATTTTAACAGTATCGCACAAGGTACCATCAAAGACGTATTTATAGAAACTATCCAGTTGTTTGCCTAGGAGGATTGTTAGATCACATTCTACCGTTGTTTACACGGCCACGTGACGTACATATTTTCTTTGCAGAAGTGGTTGATAGAGTTGAATCACCTTGTTACCAAATTAAGCTGTAATTCTGTCTGCGGCTGCAATCTTAGGCGACCAGAGCGAGATGTCGCCCACTCTTCTCTTCCCGTCTACCGACCCACTCATTCACCCGAGCGCTCGCTGACACAACCGGACGCCACAACACCCTCTCGCTTGCTCATTTTACGGCCAGACCGAATCACCCACCACCCACCCATCCACCCACTACACCGATGATCCACCCACTCCTCGCTTATCTCCCCACCCTGCCACTCACCAGCCCGCCCGTTCGCCCTCCTCTTCGCGCTTCCGTTCACCCTCCCGTTTTGGCCTCCCGTCCGCCCTCCCCTTCCCCCTTCCGTTCGCCTTCCCGTTCGCCCTCCCGTTCGCCCTCCCGTTCGCCTTCCCGCTTCGCCTTCCGTATCGCCCCTCGCCCGCGTTTCACCGCCCGTTCGCCCGCCCGTTCCGCCATCCGTTCGCCCGCCCGTTCGCCCTCTCTTTCGCCGCCCGGCCCCCTCTCTTCGGCACGCCCGTTCGACCTCCCTTTCACCTGCCTGTCCGCCCGCCCGTTCCGCCGTCGTCCCCATCGCCCGCCCGTTCGCCCGCCCGGTCGCCCCGCCCGTTCGCCCGCCCGTTCCCCGCCCGTTCCCCCCCGTTCGCGCCCCCGTTCGCCCGCCCGTTCGCCCGCCCGCTTCCCCTACAGTTTGCACCTCCCGTTCCCCACACGTTGCCCTTCCTGTGTCGCCACGCCCATTCGCCCCATCCCGTTCGCCCAGAACATGTCCACCTATTTTTCACCCGCTCGCCGCGTAGCCCGTTCACCCGCCCACCCGTTCGCCGCCCCCCACATACAGCCTGCACTCACATCGCCCACCCCTTCGCTTCGACTTCTCTCATACTGCCAAATCGCCCTCCTAAACGAGTCCCTTTCGCTTCCTCACTGGCTGCTCGGTCTGTTCCGCAACTTCCTTTCTCCCTGCCGGGGCCCGTCGGCCCGACCCTCAACCTTCAAAGGCTGCAATGTGCGGCCGCATGACGGCCTGGCAGCGTTCGCTATATTAGCCACATGGATGCCAAGTCGAGCCGCCCTGTCGCCGCCTCCGTCCCCCAATGCCCCAGACAAACGTGTCCTGCGGTCCCTCCGGCGCCAGACGGTATCCATCCCACCCATCCCACGCTGGGAGGACCCAAGCGAGATCAGTAAGACCACGAAAGTGGACTGAGTGCAACTGGCTACGAGACTAAATCCGTTCGCAAATTATGAAAATTAAAGGGGGGAGGTGAGAATATTAACACGAACAGTAGCGAAACAAAGACTAATCTGCGCAACCCCAACCTCTAAAAAGTATCATTTTAGCTGCTTAGAATTAATGCTGATTGTCATTTCATACACGTTCCTGTGAATTTAAAAAAAGGAACCTTTAAAAGTATATTACCAGATAATTGATGTTAACAACATAAAACCTAAAACTTTTTTAAAATTAGCCTTATCCAAATACTAAGAAGGGAGAAATTACACAAAGAAGTTGACCTCACTCCAGCGAGTATATAGAAAGGAATAAAAAGCTGGTATGGTCCAGTCGAATCACTGGGCCGATTGAGAATAGAGGCCAACTGCTTGAATGGGTGCATTTTCCGAGTTTCCTTGCAAGGAGTTCCTTTGCCGGCGTAGGCGCCTTTTACTTATCTCGCTACGCAGTTAGTTGCGCCATAAACCGCGAATTTCTTGGCCAGAAACTCTTATTGCAGGCTTTTGTTAAACGAAAATGGATATAAAATCCAGTGCTAAATTAAAAAAAAAAATTTCCTCTATCACGTGGTAGCCAGGAAAATCCATTTGTTTTGAGTCTTTGGTGCAAGAAAAATTTGAATGAAAGCATTAACGTCTGTCTGTCCGTCTCTGAACAACGCTAGTGACTAAAACCGTTCAGTGATTTTTCAAAAAAAATTAACATTCCCCAATGAATATTGGACTGATGTCACGGCGCTTCATGAATTAGAAAATCGATAATTTGATTTGGAGGTACCTTTACATAAAGCACTTGGATAATATACAAAACTTATCAACAAAAAATGGCTCCAAAAATGTTTAATTATATTTTGTTTTGCGGTAGTGGAAAGGTGACGTTACAAGAACGATGCAGTCTCATATACGTAGAAAACTCTATTATTCGAAAATTCAAAAGTTTAAAAATTGTTTTCGGAAGGTCTTTCTTCACAACTACAATATTAAAGTTAAGAAGTTATCCCTTTACAAAGAAAATATGTTTGCTTAAAGAGAGATTATAAAATAAAGTTAAATAACCAATGTTTTCGAAAAATTGATTCTATTCGCGTTTGAAGTTTTACTTGAAAAATTCGTGAAGAAATACGTTCTGTTTTAGCACCGACTAGTTTCAATAGTTCATGGTCCCGCACGTTGAGCTCATTTCTCCTCTCCTGCGACACGACCGGCTGAGTTTCGCCGTGGAGCAGCATTTTTTTTTTAATTTATTTTCATGCATTAATTTCCAATCTGTTCCTCATCGGAACAATAAGCAAATGGTTCAAACAGATACATTTCCGAATCTACGTGAACAATTTATGACAATGAGATTTCATTTACAAAATCGGATTATGGCGATGCAAAAAGATCTAAATCTTCTCCTCCTCAGTCTATACACTTGCTCACTGTTTATCTAGTAGGCTTGTTGAGACGGTGATTTGCGGTGGTTGTACAATCTTCTCTGGTATGGCTGTGCTCTTTTGGCGATTACTTCCTCCAGAGGAGCGATGTCTATGGTTCTCTGTATACGTCTTGTTTTCACGTTACCATGGTGCGTTGCACAGTTTTCTATGTTTTAGCTTGCAATCTTTTTAAAATTCTAGATTTCGATTTACTGGAAGAGCCCCACAATTCAATACTCATAGGTCCATGTTGGTTTGATTATAGGTTGTATAACAATTCTGTATTTTGTTATGGCAAGACAGCTTTGATTGTCTGTTTATTAGCCATGAAATTTGAGGACCTTTAAGCGCGCTTCTTTTCTCTTGTTTTGATGTGGGTTTTCCAAGTCAGGCGTCTATCCAAAATGGCAGACAAGATATTTGATAGTATCAGCTTCGTGGATTCTCGTGTTGTTTAGTTTTAACTTTTGGGCAGTTTTCTTTTCTTAGTGAAAATTTATATGTTTTGATTTTGTGTTTCATTTACGGTGACTCGCCAACGGATGACTCCAATCTTCCGTTTTGTTTAGATGTTTCTTGGAAGATGTATGTGATGCGCAGAGGGGTCTTCATTTGCAGAAAGAATAGCTGTGTCGTCCCGCAAAGGGGGCTACTGTAGTTCTTTCTGTTGTTGGTAAGTCTGAGTTGATAATAAATATAAAAAAAGGTCCAAGAATTACTCCTTGCTGGCACTCCTGCAGAAATAGGTTGGAATTCCGATAGAGCGTCCTGATATTTCACTTGCAAATAGGCGATCTGCAAAGGATAGGATTGAGAAGTAAATAAGTTGAGTGCGCGAGAAGTTTTTTATTTAAATAGAATCCTTCATACATACCTTGTCGAATGCTTGTTGTTATGTCTAGGAATGCTGCTAGAACAATATAGCCTTTTTTTCCAGGCTTGAGGAATTGTGTTCTTACATAACGATGGGTTCTGTTCTATTGTTGAGTGTCCCTCTCGGAAAGCCGAATTGAAAGTCAGGAATCGCTTCTGTTAATTATAGGCTTCAGGCGCTGTAAAGAGAAGTTTTTCAAATACTTTTGATAGACTGGTAGCAGGCTGATAGTCGGGTACGATGTAAAACTTCCGTGGCAGTCTTCCTGGTTTCAACGATGGCAATTATTTGAGCTTATTCCATTGACAAGGGTAATGGCTATTTCGAAGGTATCGCGTTGAATAGCTTGTACGAGAGTTCATACCTTAACTTGGCATTTCCTGCAACATTTTGCCGTAATAAGGTCAAATCCTGGACTCTTTGCAGGATGCGTGTGTTTTTATCTGTTTGTTCGGACTTCTCGTGAGTTTGAAATGCTCTATGGGCAGAGATAAACTGTAAGCGCGTCCCAAATATTCTAGCCCACTTTAGTTTTCAATAGTTCTTTACATTTTCTCTGGTTGAAAACTGAAGCAACGTGTTTGTGCTAAGCATTCGACCTTTTTCTTTGTTCTGGCCGCTTTCTTGCCCAACGTGCCATCCTTCTTTTCGAATTTAAGATGTGCTGTTGGGTCGCTTTAGTTTTCTAGTTGCTTTCCAAAGCGAATAATTAGTTCAGCAGTAGGTGAATTAGTGCTTGAATGTTAGATTAGAGAATGATTTGTTTTCATTCCTAATTGGAACGCTGTAATGTCTGGCTGCTGTGTTATATTTCTTTGCATCTGGTGCGTGTCGTCATGAATATTCTTTCCGGAGTCGAAACGTTTTTCTACCACTTTTTGTCTTATTTCTGCGGGATACGTTGACGATTTATTTATTTTTTCTCTTGGTGTTGCTGGAGGCAGCATGACTTCGACTTTTTCAACGACTCTCACCGGGCGGTGTTAGAGTTCGAGTCCCGACGGTGACGAGTTTCTCGAAACTAGTTATATATCTACGACGAATTTAGGCGTTATCTGGAAGAGAATTCTAGCAGACGGCTGCTCTCATTGATAGTTTTCAGTACTTTCTCCGATCAATACCAGGTTCATGCGGAAGCACTACCCTAACAAACAGTCCACGGACTGCGCGTGATATTTTCTCCTTCTTCCTTTTCGTATCCTCACCCCTTACTTATATAGATACATTTACATACACTCACACCCATTACACTGCTACATGTAGGGAGACCAGTCATAATCTTAGAGCTTGTCCCGGTTCAGAGAGATACCTGTGTATAATAACGATAAACTCAAGAACTTGGGTATTATCCGACGAAGGGGATAGATTTTATACGTAGAATTATTGTTATTGTTTTTCATGTCATAGAGCACGTGGCGATTAATCTATTCTCATACTCTCTCAATCTCGGTGCTCGCAAGTGTTCTGTCATATGTGCCCCAAATAACGCTATCACGTGTGCAATCGAACGCACTAGACTGCGATAACGAAAATGTAGGCGGGTATGTTGAAAAGTGTGCTAAAATCTGTGTTTACAAGTGTGCTGTTATTGTGTGGTGGAGGCAATGTAGATGTGTGCTGGCGAGTGTCGTTCTGAGTTTTAGAAAACGTGCTCGCAATTGTGCTACCATGTTTGCGGAGAGAATGATGTCGTATGTCGAGAATGCTATCGAGTGTGCATGAAGATGTGTTTGCGAGTGTGCCGCCATGCTTCCCGAAGACAATGTCAAGGCACGGGGTTCGGTAAAATGTCGGCATGCGTATCAGCGAGTATGATCTAGTGTGCGCGGTCAAGTGTGCAAGGGCACGTGCTAGCGAGCCAGCCGCCTTTATTCCAGGAGAATGATGTCATGTCATGAGGTTGGGAGAGAATGTCTGGATTTGCATCAGAGTGTGTGTGCTAGTGTGCGCGGTGTCGAAGGGCACGTGCTAGCACGTGCGAGCCTGCCGTCATTATTCCCGGAGTATGATGTCATGGCATAAGGTTGGAAGAGAATGTCTGGATTTGCATCAGAGAGTGTGTGCTAGTGTCGAATGTGCAAAAGCAGGTGCTGGCGAGCGTGCCGCCATTATTCCCGGAGAATGATGATAGAATGATGTCATGTCATGAGATTAGGTGAGAATGTCTGGTTATGTATCGGAATGTCTGCTCTAGTTTGCGCGGTGTCGAGTGTGCAAAGGCAGGTGCTGGCGAGCGTGCCGCCATTATTCCCGGAGAGAATGATGTCATGCCATGAGATTGGGAGAGAATGTCTGGGTTTGCATCTGAGAGTGTGCTCAAGTGTGCAAGGGCACGTGCTAGCGAGCCAGCCGCCATTATTCCAGGAGAATGATGTCATGTCATGATGTTGGAAGATAATGTCTGGATTTGCATTAGAGAGTGTGTGCTAGTGTGCGCGGGGTCGTGTGTGCAAAGGCATGTGCTGGCGAGCGTGCCGCCATTATTCCCGGAGAATGATGATAGAATGATATCATGTCATGAGATTAGGAGAGAATGTCTGGTTATGTACCGGAATGTCTGCTCTAGTTTGCGCGGTGTCGAGTGTGTAAAGGCAGGTGCTGGCGAGCGTGCCGCCATTATTCCCGAAGAGAATGATGTCATGCCATGAGATTGGGAGAGAATGTCTGGGTTTGCCTCCGAGGGTGTGCTCAAGTGTGCAAGGGCACGTGCCGGCGAGCGTGCGACCACGCTCGCCGGCCAATGCCGCGCCCGCTTGGTGGTGTCATGTCCGTCTCGCGAGCGTGGCCGGGCGTGTGGTGGGCGCAGCTGGGACCTGGACCCCACGGTGCGGCACACCTTCTGGACGATGTCGGTGGGCGGCGCCACGTTCTGGCTGCAGACGAGCGGCGTCAACCAGAACATGATGCAGCGCTACCTGGCGCTGCCGACGCGCGGCCGCGCACGCGCGTGAGTAATGCCCCGTCGCCCGTGGCCTTGCGTTGCAGCCTCAGCCTCGACCCCACCGAGCGCCACTCGCTGCTCGTCCTCATCGTGGGCAGCTCCCTGCACTGGCTGCAGAGCAGCGGCGTCAACCAGATCATGATGCAGCGCTACCTGGCGCTGCCCACGCTCCTGCGCGCGCGGCTGTAAGTGGCGGAGCGACGTCGTCGGCACATCGATGATCAGCAACGAAGCAGCAATATCGTCCAAATAGCATACATGTTTTTCAACATCGATGTTTGAGAAACTGGTGTAGTAACATACAATTAAGATTTATGAAAAAAAAAAAAAAAAAAAAAAAAGAAAATGAAAATTCGAAACTCGCATCACTTGCTTTTAACCCTTGGTAACGTTAGTGTGAAACAATGATGAGTATCCTGACATGTAAACACCGATACTATTGTTTTATTGTAATATTTTTAGACAGCTTTAGTGAATGCATTTTTAGAGCGCATTTTATGCGCAGCGTAGTAAAAGTTCAATTTTTAGCACTAGAGCTAAAAGTGGGGCGATGTTCCTGTGTTCGGAAACATTTACCAATGCACCAAGAAAACAAACTAATGTCGTCTGACCGTATCAGCTATTACTGACCTTAATGTATCATAAAAAGATTTGTAGACGTGAATAAAGATAAAATGAAACTAGGTAAGGCTATCTCAAATGTGTACGACACACGCGTGTATGCCACACGCGGTGCTTTTACTTTGCTCCACGCGATTGCGCCACTCGGCGTGTTGGTCTCGTGACAATGTCACAAAACATTTTCTACTCGCAAAATTAAATATCACATTTACCTCTCCAATAATAACTTTCTTTTTGATTCGGAAATGAAATGCCTACATCGTAAAACCCTCGGCTTGAATAAATCGATCTAAAAAATCTTATACAAAGATAGGGATAGTTTTGAAATCATCAACATCGGTGTCGTATCCTCAGCGCGGACTATGCAAGAGCTTCGCCTCTGGGTACGAGGGGGCGGGCCGGGCATGATATTTTTACGAACCAGCAACTACAACTCGTTAGCAATTGTTACGTTTTCTGTTTTGTTTTTTATATCAATTTGTGGCTAGAAATGGAGCCAAAAATGACTACAAGCCAGATAGGTTCCTGCTGACTAATACACCAAATTTCAATATTATTTTTCACGATTTAAATCTAAAGATATCTATTCTGTTTATCAGTCTTCTAAATTTATTTTTATATTATTTATTTATTTTTTGAAGTATTCTTATATTTATTACTCATATTTACCTCATATTTTGTTGCACTTCATCCCATAAATAAACGTTAAATATTCTTAAAGGTAAAATAATTAATGCATTATTAGTTTATTTTATAGTTATTATAACTATAAAAGTTAACTATATCAGTTATATAAAGGGACTTTTAAATTCCACATGCATTTTGAATTTAATAAATGTTGGGGCAACCAACTTATGAAAGGATCTAACGTATTGAATAGATGACATTTTGATTAAAGAAGAGTGGATACGAACGTAATGTGACAAGTGAGAATATATATGCAATTTTTCATTTACACTTGAATATTTTCAACATTCAGCTCCTGTAAATCTGTGGTGATTGTCATATTTCAGTCCGAACATTTTAACCGCTAATAGTGTCACTCAATCATTTTGGTGGAGCCAATGGTTATTATATTCATTATTCGGCGAATATGTTGTACCCACTTTGTTGTTAACGCAATTGCAAACAAACGGAACTTACAGGAATTAATAAAACTGAACTCGTAAGTTACACATTATTAGACAATCCAAATATTCAATTTTCGTGTTAGCCCGTTCATGTAGGGAGTGGAGGAAAAGTATTGTGCCGACAAATATATTACAAAGCTCAATATGTCTAAGAAAAGAGTTAGCAATAGGTAAAATACGATGAAGAAGGATAACATTGTAGAGCTGCGGGAAGTAACAATTACACCATACTGCTCACCACACAGCTTGGGCGGACATTATCTTCAGCCACATTGAGAAGACGAAGACCTGTTCATACGGCATGCAGTGTCTCACCAATCACGTCTAACCACTAGGAATGATGACAGATGAACTGTCTGAAAAACGTTTTTGAATCCATCTGCACGATTGGCATTCAGCGAGCAAGTTAACTTTTCATGACGAATTCACTTAAAAAAACATCTCTTTCTCTGTAAAGGGACCAAAAAATTATAATACATTTCGTAAAAAATATTGCTTTCTTTTAATGCTTGGAAGTGGGCTTAACATAAGGGTGTTTTACAGATCTGTTTGGATTTTCGTGCTGGGTGCCTTGTTTCTGGTATTCACCTGCTGCTATAGCGGTCTTCTCATTTATGCCACATACCACGACTGCGATCCCCTCACTACTAAGGTACGTACTCAAAACGTAATATTGACGCTACGTATCTAGAAGAAATTGATTACATTCGCTGCTGATACGCATGCATACCAGCTCTCGCGCACACTCCGTCGTACTTGACATTCTTGTCGAGCAAAACGCGCCCGCTACGCCGAGCAGAGCTGAGCGCAGCATGTCACGTACTTTGCAACATTGCCCTTACTCAGCTGGGCTGCGTAGAAGGTGGCATATTTCCTCCGAACACACACAGGCAAACTATGCCCAACCCAGAAGCACACAATTGTCAGGAAGAGGCGGTTAATTAATTTAATTTTAAAATTTGTTAATAAACATGGAATTAAAATTAAAATGTGGAATAGTGTTAATAGTATAATACACCTGCAAGTTTATAACGTTGCACCCTACTGGAAAAACAATTATAAACAAGTGATACTATTATTTATTGTACTTTTCAATTGATTAAACATCGAAATTAACTAATACGCTTTCTATTAGGAGGGAAATTAATACTTTTTAAACTTGTAAACTAATATCGTTGTAATGCATACAACACACGTGAAGTTTGAGTATAATAATTTTAAATAGTTAAAGTAAAAATACAAAGTATACGATAGGCACGATCCGACCTTTCCCTTCAGTCTGATCATTACAACCGCATGAAAATAATTCGCAGCTGTTCCAGAACATGAAGTTTGACATATTACAAAACCAAAGACGACGATTTGCTTTGACGATTGTTTTGCTTCTAGGCATAAATGTCTGTGCTTGTCTTTTAGAGATCAGTGGGGAATGGAGTTATTCAAATTATCGTTCTTCTTTATGTCGCGGGAGGAAGTATATTCCTTCTCGAAGGACATGATGATATTCGTAGATATGAGGCCACATCTATTGCTGAGTTGCCCTTGGAAATATATCATGTTACATCAGAGTGAATATTTTCTTATCAGCTTTTGACAAAAAACACTTATTTCGCGAATTTAAGAAAACGTGCACATAATACACTACTCACCGTTGCATATCGCACAGATTTTTAACTGTTTTGACGTAAAATAAAATAAATAAAAACAATTACTCTGCATCACTTAGAACTATGAGTTTCTTCATTTACACGTCCACTGAATTGCGACATGCTTCTGCATCCCGGACGCAAAAAATTCTACAAATTTCTCTTGGCCATACTGGAAATCGAAATTGGACTCATGTAGAATACAAAACATGCACACTGGCCATGAGCTATGAGATCATGAACATGTATTACAAGCGTGTAGTACACGTTTATATTACTTGTTCGTATGTGTAATTTTTCACTTTTAAATTGTATGCAGTAGGAAAATAAAATACAGTACAATTGTTTTCATCATGTCAACTTTTAAATTATTGCAATTCATGCATGGTTTTAGGCTCCGAGGCAACTACTTACAAACCAAGAAACTTATTATAAATGTTTGAAAGCACCACTGAACATGAAGTCTCTAACTCTCGAACATCACCTAATAACAATAATAATAATAATAATAATAATAATAATAATAATAATAATAATAATAATATTAAATTTTCCTCTGCACATATTTTTATCAGGTTATTTCTTTTTATCATTGATTACTGTGAGCCACTTCATCCTATTCTACTGGATGTGATAGTTTGAGGCCAGTCCCGTTGCTTCTACAGCATTAATTCGAGTCATGACGATGGTGGAATATGGGCATTAAAACAGATCTCTGGAATCAGCGGAAGATAAACACCGTCACTTCCATGTGTACAGCACACCCAACATTTACAAGAATACGTTATTAGTTGACGCGCTCGTAAAATACAGTCACACTTGCTTCCTACTCTACATTTACCCGTGCACGCATGGATATAATTTGCGTTTATCTGGGAGTATGATACCAAACGGAGGCAGCTAGCAACCTCCCATCAGCATCGGTAACCTTAGAGTGAACAAGTAATGCTTACTTGTCGTGCTGTTGATGCATGCTACTGGCTTATGAGGATCAGGGCATCAACTGATTTCACTGCACTGCATCTGCCCGGGATGCTCTACGGTGGCTGGATTTTCGACACTAGCTAGCTTTCACACACTATCTCAGATCTCACAACCTAGCTCTAATCGGTAGTTTTCCGTTGTTTCTCCGTTCAACACCACGAAAATGCCGAAGTAGTACTCTAATAAACAGGCCACAAACCGCGCACCATCTTTCCTTCCTATTCCTTATACAATCCTCATCCCTTACTTACACTTACATGCACCACACTACCACACGTTGGAAGCTTAGAGCTTGTCCCGACAAAGGCAGTGTCCCGCTGGTGGGAGATTCCTTGGCTGGGGAAATCCCAGCAAACCGGCACGCCGGTTTATAAATAAAACGCCGCGGCGTGTAGGTCGGTGCCGTATTACGCCATGCAGCGGCGGAAAACTTCCCCAACGCTAGTGATAAAACATACACTACACTTACGGTACGAATGACCCTAGCAGTTAACGCGTCCTGAAACACGAATCAATCAAACGGTGCGAGGGCTGACGAGTGGTTTGTGCGCAGCTGGCGGCGGCCAAGGACCAGCTGCTGCCGTTGCTGGTGATGCGCACGCTGGGACAGTGGCCGGGGCTGCCGGGCTGCTTCGTCGCGGGCGTCTTCAGCGCCGCTCTCAGGTCAGTGCGCCGCCCCTCCCCTCGCCCTTTCCCATGCACTCGGCAAATGAACATGACCTCTGCTTTGACAGCTTCTGCTTGGCTACGTGTCATTCATTTATTTCCCCATGTGTCAAACTGGTCCCTTCTTAGCTACGTGTCAATCATTTATTTCCGCATGTGTCAAACTAGTCCCTTCTTAGCTACGTGTCATTCATTTATTTCCCCATGTGTCAAACTGGTCCCTTCTTAGCTACGTGTCCTACGTGCCATTCATTTATTTCCCCATGTCTCAAACTGGTCCCTTCTTAGAGTAACTCCTCTACACAATAAGTTGGAACCGGATTTCTGTGTAAATGCATACATTTCGTGTTGTCAGAAAGCCCCTTCATTTGGAATTGTAATATTCTGGATAAATCTATCAATATTAATATTTTATTATTACTAATTCCCACTTGAGCACGCTATCAAACTCACTTCATAATAATTTATAAATATTTATGTAATTAACTTGCCCCGAAATGCTCTTAAATTTACTTTATACTAAAATCTTTATTATGTTGATTTTATTACTATTTATTTGTGGGTATCGACATACAATATTCTAGCTCTTACCTTGCTGTGTGCGGGCGTGCTATCTGTGCAGATTGGCCACTTCTGGAAGTTCTGTTAATTAATACTTTTTTTTTAAATTGATAGCAACTAACTACAAATTATCAGCCTTGTTCCAAGGAAATAAATTAACAATCATTTAACAATTTAATTTACAACCCTAAATAAGCACATCTTATTGAAATTTATGATTTTTCTTTCCTAAAATAATTATATTTTCTGCACATGTTAAATCAAAGTTCGTGACTGCTTGAGATCTTCGCGCGAGTTGAAGACTTCTCGGTTGCACCTCCGGCTTGAACGTCCATCACATCTTTCTTGATGCCACCTAGTGATGTCAATTTTTTTGCCTCCCTAACGTCATGTCTCCCAATCAAATTTCAGTTAAAATGTCAACCGTGCTATTGTTCGTTATCGGATCTTCAAATAATTGAACTAGTTTATCTTAAGTTCGCGTTCTTTGCCTGCTCTATACCACATGTGGGTATCTATTCGCGACTACCTAATTTCAATACGAATTGTTGATGTAAGAAACATCCACGAATCTTCCACGTCCTGATTTCATTGCAAATCATTGATTTCATTGCATTCACATTACTACTATATTTATTTTTATAAATTTAATTTTGTTATGTGCGTTCATGCGTAATGTACATTTCTAAATGCATGGTTCATTGTAGTTAAAATCGATTTTCTGTATCTAAATTACGCAAAGCATTTACTCGAAAAAACAAGATCATTTGGAGTATTACGTAAAGTTAATTTTGAGAATTAGTAACGCTGAATAACAAACACACGTGAGTTTCTCCCGCAAGTCACAGAGGTGGCGTTGCCTACAAATATAAGCTGAAAAAGAAAATAACTACAAATATATAAATATACTACAAATATAGGATGAAAAAGAAAATAACTTTCCTTTTTCTACAACTGCATAAAAAAAGCAACTTCTGTGCATCGCTAGTTACCGTCATTTTTTAATATACATCGATATTGGTACCGCGAAAACGCGCGTTTTTTTGCATTGTTTTAGAATACTTTTCTAATCATGGCCCTATTAAATGCATTTCTTTATTGTTCGTGGTATTAGGCTTCTTTTTACAAGTTTTATATTGAAATTTTTTGTATTATAATTTTATAAATAATAAAAAATAATATTTTTGTAATTTTATTTGTAGAAAAAACGTTAATATTTCTTGTGTGAAGTTTACATTTCTTTCACCGTAACTTTACACTTAATATGAAAATAAATATTTCATGGTTTGAAGGAGGCTGCTAAAAGATTCTTGGAATTGTGATTCTAATCCTAATTGTTAAATTATTTAGCAATGTACAGTTCGTCGTGAAAGCTAACTAATCCTTCTCATTAAAATTTTGTTGAGTTACAGTAAGTTGGAGTAAAATGCCGGGAATATGCACTTTGCATAAAAATTATGAGAAACAGTGTTATGGTGCGTTATATAATTATAGGTTATATTTTAGTGAATATGCGCAAATATTTAGTGTGTATTAGTACGCAATTAATACATGCATATTTTCATAGACAATTAGTGCATATAAATCCGACTTCTAATCGTTAGCTAAGGAGAGATGATAGTTTTTCGCAATTTATAAGAAAGCATCCGCAAAAGACCCTGTAAGAGTGCTACTGAGGAATAGAGTTACTGCCCAATTCTGCGCCCAAAAGATTTAAGAGGAGAAAATGGAAATCGAAGAACGTCCATTGTAAATGTTATAACAACTTCCGCTGCTCCTGCCAGCTCCTCTGATCGGTAGTTTTCTGTAGTTTCTCCAATCAACACCAGGCGAATGCCGAAGCAGTTTCCTAACAAACGGGCCACGGACTGCATGCGATTTTTCCTTCCCATTTTCTGTATTGTCCTCATTCCTTTCATACAAATACTTACACATCATACATCACCATACACGTTGGGAGACCAGTCGGGAGAGCGTGTCCCGGCTGAAGCGAAGCCGTGTGGGAGAGATGCCTTGAAGGGGAAATCCCTCGCAAGCCAACGCTTAGGTCGGCATCGGATATCACTACCCAGCCGGGAAGGAACACCGCTACCTCCATGAATAAACAAATCCGCTACACTAACGGGATTAAATGCCATAGAAGTTGACGTTCTTGGAAATATCAATCGATTAACAGTCGGTATCGTGAGCACTTGGGTTGTCGGCGGTTGCAGCTCCATGTCGACGGCGATGAACTCGATGGCGGCGGTGGTGCTGGAGGACTTCTACAAGACGTTCTTCGCCAAGAAGCCGCTCACCGATCGCCAGACCAACGTGCTCATGAAGACGGTGGTGGTGGTCACGGGCGTGGTCTGCGTGTCGCTCGTCTTCGTCGTCGAGAAGCTCGGCTCCATCCTCCAGGTGGGCACACTCAGCCACGCCGTCATATCTTCAGGCGCTCCTCAAGGGCCATCACCAGGGCCGGATGATTTTGCCAGCAAAATAAGCAGGAGGGTGGCGATCTCCAAAAAAATCACAAAAGGAAATTTGGAAAAGGCATACGTCTGTATCTGTTCATAAATTGTTAATCAAAAAGTCTACCAAACTATAAACTTTGTATTTAATTTTTTTCTAGAAAAATATTTAATTCTAAATTACTCTTTTTTTGGAGAAGTCTCAAACACAATTTTGTGCTCGGGGATCCCGTAGTATGTAAATCCGTCTCTGGATGTCTCAGTGGTTGCATTTGTAAGGTGTATTCTGATTTCATTTTGTTGACTTTGCAAACTATATTTGGAAATGATAAAAAACAGTTAAACGATATTTGCAAACTAACAGTTCATGATTGAAAATGTGTTATATAAAAATATTATTCAAAAGCAATTAAACAAATGGTTTCCAAAACTTTAAATCTTCAATGAATCTTATTATTATTATTATTATTATTATTATTATTATTATTTGTATTATTATTGAATAGTCATTACATTATACGACAATCTTTACAAATTTGTCAATATATTTTTTCTTGACGTAGCTTTCTATGTCTTTGGGAGCCATGACAAATGGACCAGCCCTTGGAATCTTCACGATGGGATTATTTCTGCCATGGGTAAACAACAAGGTAGGTAACAATACTGTATTCGCAATAGTGTTCTATCAACTTACCAGTGAAAAGAAGAAAACATTCTTAACGGCCTGCGCGGTATCTACAAAGGATTTAACAGTCCATCGACCATTTGGAACAAACGAAACAAATGAATTGTAGCTAAATACGGCTTACTACTTCACGTGTGTGTATGACTGTGGAGATCTAATATTGAAAAAGTTGATAAATCTTGTACCTTTGTGTAATTAATTACTTGAACCTAATTTTCTTGCTGGGTAAGTTGGAAATTAACTTGAACTGGTTAGTACCTGAATTACTTGAACTGAATTGTACCCTTTATTTTAGGAGCACCTGACTTAGCATTTTCGCGAATAAATATTTAAGATTTTGACTTTTACCACCATCATTAACTCTTCTATTAAGTACTAGAATATTCGATAGTGAAGAAGGTAAAGAATGCTGATCAATTTATCCTCCCTCATTGACAATAATTACATAATTAGAAACATCAGTTGATTTGGCTTTTTTTCTTATTAATACGTTGTGTTGTCAGAATTAATGTTTTGTAGTACCATGAATCTGAAAAATTATTTGACGGCAAAACATGTCTATGGTTAACGCTAGCGCCTTAATAGTTCAAACGACATTATCCAAAATTAATATCCTTGAAACGATCTAGCCGAACAAATCATGCCCTACAAATTTGAAACAATATATAGATTTTTGGAGATACTTTACATAAAGACCCACATTTTCAAAATGTTCTCAAAAGTGTCTCCAATTGTTTAAGTGCTTCCTTAAAGGACTCTTAACAATGGCTCAGATCTCATTTTTGTTGATATTTATAAGTTCAATTTTTTTCAGTGTATTCATACAGAGACAATATTAAAGTTATCTCAAATCCCTATGAAGTTTTCAGAATGAAATATTCTGTTTAAAATCGACTGATGAAATTCGGTCACGGACAAATAAAAAAAAAGTTTTCGTATAATTTTCATTTAATATAGGCAATTTTTAAAGAATATTTTCTGAAAAACGGATATATAATTCGTTTTCAAAATCCCCCCTCTAATGTTACAAATTACCCGAAAATGTGGCTCAGATTCCATTTTTGTTGAACTCTGAATTTTCGCGAATGGCGAAAGTTAGAAATGCGAGAAACTATGTGCTTTAGGAGTACCATTCATTTATAAGAAGATAGTTTAATTAAAAATATTGAAAGATACACAGCCGAATACACAAATAACAATCTCATTTACACTTATACACTTCGCCTGTCGCCTTGAGGTTAAAAACTTCAACAGCATCTGCTATTAAGAGGTATAAGAAGTGACCCCTGTGGCAGCTATTATTCGGTCACTGCTGGCAACATAACTGCTGCTTATGCCCGTGTCAGTGCGTTCGTTTACAGTAAGCTCATTTGTAAGTGGCTTGATCATTCTCTCTTGCAATGTCATCGCCCCGCATGACGTTCATTTGTTTTCCGATCTATCAAATTGGTCCCTTCTCAGTGTTAAGGCCCACTCACAATGCAAACACAAACATAAGCATAACGCATAGACGTAAACATTGACATAAATGATAGACTGAAGTATTCACAATGTCTAACATAAACGTAAGAAAAATAACACCTTCTATTGGCTGTGAGACACTGAAGTTTACTATTGGATGGATGTGAGAATCGATTTCGAGCTATCGACTGTGTCCATGGCTCATGGTATTACATGGCGTTAGTTCGTCTATCGACTTTGACCCTATTTCGATACTCGATTTTGAGCTAACGTACTGTGATAGGTTCATTTCTTATGTTTACTTAAGCATAAGCACAGAAGCTTGAAGCTTATGCGAACGCATTGTGAATGCGTCTGCTTATGGACGTAGTCCTAAGTTTTATGTTAATTCCATGCTTATGCTTATGTTTGCATTGTGAATGGGCCTTTACTCCCCTCTATTGACGGTTTATCGTCCTTAGTAGTTTACGTAATCCCGCTTGCCCGTTGCCCACTGCGGACGCGTGCTGCGCAGGGGATGCTGGCGGGCAGCTGCGCGGGGCTGCTGGTCATGGGGTGGATCGTGCTGGGCGCGCAGGCGGCCATCGCCACTGGGGACATGGCCTTCCCCACCAAGCCCTTCAGCGTGCAGGGCTGCACCTACTCCTTCGCGGCGCACGCCGTCAACGCGACGCTCGCGCCCGCGCACGCCCACGCGGACGCCAGGTGAGCCACGCGCCACGCCACGTGTCGTCCCTCGGGCCTCTGGCCCGGAACTCATAGGAGGCTTCGGGGCACAAGGGCCCTTTCCCATATAAAACATTTTGTGTAACTTTACTCAATTTATTGAAAATAATTACCGTATAAAGAAGATACAATCGTTTGGTAAAAAGCATTCTCATGAATAATGTATTCGTACATTTTACTTTGCAAGCTAATAATTTAAAAAAAATTGAAAATATATTTGGGGGCTAATAATTTTTTAAAAAATTTGAAAATATATTTGGGGGCTAATAATTTTTAAAAACATTTGAAAATATATTTGGGGGCTCCAAATGAAATTTCTACCACCGCGAAATGCAATCTGGATTCACCTCCAGGGGTAATGATCATGTAACCATTATGATTAATCAGGTTATTGACTAAACGAGGCACTATTGAACAGGATGTGTAAGCCATATAATACGATATTTATTCATTAGAGGCTATCAAATCATTAAACATCATTACGCAACTAATTTATTTACGAACTTAAAAGTTACATTTTCAAACTTTGCGCACGTCAGATTTACGCGCTTCACTAGGCATAACCATCGCCCTTCATGAAGTTACTGACGTAACCAGGCTCAAATAACCAGAACGGGCCATACCATATCATCTTCACACATATATTAAACCCATCATTCCATGCAGTATTCATTGAAGAGGTTATGCTTTTCAAATCTATCGCGCGTTCGTTTTACGCGTCCCATCAGGCACATTACGCTATTGACGCCACCAGGCCGCAATAAAGAGGGTGCGTGCGCCTCCCGTTGCAGAAGCGACGTGTTCCCGCTGTACCGCGTGTCGTACCTGTGGTACACGCTGCTGGGCGTGGTGGTGTCGACGGCCGTGGCGCTGCCCGTGAGCTTCCTGACGGGCGCCAACCGGCCGCAGGACGTGGACGCGCGCCTGCTCAGCCCCGTCGTCCGCCGCTTCTTCCGCCCCCGCTCCGCCCCCGCCGCCGCCCCCGTCCCCGCCGCCAACGGCTATAAGGTCAGTGCTTGGCTTCTGGCTGGTCGGGCATGGCAGCGATGGTTTTGGGACGCTCGTTGATGCCATTAGGGGTAGCAATGCGTGGAAATGATTCGCGTTCAAATGTTGGCCAACTTGTCCTGGAGCTATACACTGTCTTACATAACTACAAAAGTGTTATCTATGTCCACGTCTGGTGCTTTTTTTCTGCATCTGGAGGTCAGAGCCAAAAATGATATTTTACTACAATCGTATAAAAACAAGCGATTTTACACGCGCGTTAATAAATTAATAAATAGGGTAGAACTTGGTTGTAAGTTATCTCGCGGGCATAGTATGCATTACATCGTATTATATTTAGGCGGGCTTTATTTAAAGTCGGGAATGCGAACATTGGTTTATTATATTTTGCCTTGACTTTATTTTTACTATTTTTGATTTGGCCAGTGATGTTGATTTTCTTCGATATTGAAGTTTTTAGGAGCCATTGCAATTGGAGTTTTCAAAGAAAATCTCTCTCTATTGAAACGTCGCCTTCGACACAAACGGACCACTGTTCAACAGCCTATCAATAATATCATGATGTTGGAAAGCTCAATACAAAGAACGCAGTGATGACCTTTCGCATTGCGAAATACTGCACAGCTCTTGCTGTTACCGCACTAAATATTGCCTTCATTGAGGTCTAGACGAAAAACGCTACGTCTTACCAACAAAAAAATAATCACCGGAAAAGTGCGAGCAGATTTTCTCGTTAACAGATGAGCTGTTCTTTTTCTGGAAGGGTATTTGCGTCATCGGATTTACATTACTTCTTATTCGAATTATGGCTTCAGTTTTCGTACATTTCGGTTTCATCGTATCTTTTCCTACATCACGAAAAGCGAAATTCTTCTATATTATGATGTTAGCTAATGCTTGTTTTTTGAAAATTCATTATCTGGTCCACTTCCTGCTTGGGCTGAATTATTAGGAATTCTCTAATTTTTTGCTACATGGGTGCCAAATGCGACCCATCTCTCCTCAAACTCTTGTGTTTTTTCTGCATCCAAAACTAATTGTATTGGGTTGCTTAATGTTTCACTCACAAGAACTAATATGCTTTTGTATTCCTTTACAGTCCGTCGAGCTTCATATCATTCCGAACTCCCAGAGCGCTGAAGAGAAAGAAAAAGAAGCAATGTTAGAATCGTGACATCCCGTTGAAAATGCAATGTCAATCAACTGATAAAATATGTGTCTAATTGTACGATTTCTACTCATAAGCAGACGCTGAATCCAACTTCAGAGGTTCGTTTGCTCCAGATAATGAGATACTCCAGATAATGAGTATGGTACCATTTAGACAAAATACAAAGTTGACAAAATTGCTCATCATTGATCATTTTTGCGTGTACTGCGAGGCACAAATTCTCGTGGAAAGACATGATTGTAAAAAAATATTTCTAGCCCCTTTTTGTTCTTTTTTTGCAAACCTCTAGCTGGTTATTTGAAACTTCGGAGAAAATGAACGAACAAGAGGAAGAACAGTTTTCATTGAGTACTAAAGAAAAGTGGGAATTGTCATTAATTATTAGATACATGTATGCTAATAAGGAAGAACTGAAAACTAAGTGACAACTTTTCAATATTACTCAAAATGAGTTTGAAATTTTTTAATGCAAAATCATTATACTTATCATCACATTCGCGCTTTTGTAAAATATTGCTTACTCATTTTTAACAAAAAAAATATTTCATTCAGCATCTTTTTTCTAGAAATGTTTTCCAAATGAATTACAAATATTGTACAGAAAATACGTCACTTTTATTAGAAATATTGATTTCCGATATGTTATCAGAGAAGTAGACAAGAATAATAATTAAATTTTAGAGAACATTATAGGCTGCTGGCCAGTCAATACAAATTAAGAATACTCATAAGAATTTCTTTTAGCAAAATTTTGTATCAAAAGTTTGATGTACAATGATAAGTTCTTAAATTGATGTTTATTTTTACTGTGATAATTTAAAAAATGTATGATAGAATCTCAGAGCATAAAAATGATATGTATCTGAATGAGAGTCAAGTAATAAAACAACAAATTGAATGTATACGTCTACAAATTATTAAAATAAATTTAATATTAATTAGTTTACTCGCCTATATGCTTAAAAGTCACATAATAGAATGGATATGAATATGATATGAGTGAATAAATGTAAATAAACAAATTCCACGCAACAAGCTTTTAAACATATAATAAAATTTTTTAATGAGATATCGTATTGTCTGAACCAAGATACTTTTATAAGTCAAGGTCGAGATATTCCAAAAATTCAAATTGTGATAATACAATAAACGATTCTTTAAAAACCCATGTAACGAAATTTTATTTTCCTGGGATCTCAGGAACGAAAGTGTTTGTAAAACATATACGTTGGAAATATGTAAAATAATTAATGCTGAAATGTTAGATTGTAATATTTATTTTTGAACTATACTTTGTGTATTATACATTTCTGATTAGAAACTTTCTATAAAATTTAAATACTTCCAATGATTCGTATTTGGGAATTTAATTATTTATGTACTATTGGCTCTGAGTAAATGGATTTTCTTATAAAATAAACAGTTAAAAAGTTACTTTTATTCGTAATCACTATTAAATTTGTTTATTCATATTTCATTTGTACATCTTTTCTTAAAATGTAGACCGTTTATCAAGACTGTGGTATATGACCCGAAGTTAATAAAGTGGAGAAAAGATAGGATAGTATTCTTTTTCTCACGTTTCCATCAAGTTGCACAAATAAGGTAGAAACTTCAATTGAATCAGAATGATGAAAAAGGGAACAAGTCAAAAATGCTATTTTTTCTTATGTTGGAAAATTGTTCGTAAGTCAAGGTAAATTGTTCTGTGAAGAAAGTAATCATGTTATAACAGTGTTTAGTACATCATAGTGAATTCACTCAAACAAATGGACAGGATAATATAAATGTATGAGTAATATTTAATTTTTTTTTCGTCTTGATAAGGGGCGAGCAATGATTTCAATTCAATTTTCAGCCCGATTCAATTCAATTTTTCTTTTGTTGAAATTCGATTTATACCGAACCATAAATATTATTAATTGCCATTATACTATTGTATTATATAATTGCCATTATACTTTTCCATTATACCTCATTTTAACGATACTAGAAGCTCGCATTAGAGTCTTCTGCATATCCCGCACAGTTACGAAACAATACATTTTGTTCTCGTATTTATACTCGTATCATGTAATGAAATCCATTCTTTTCCGAAGTCGAGCCTACGATAACTCTCTGACGAGGGAGCAAAGCAGAAGATGAAGCAAAGAATTGAAGCAATTATAAAGATATCAGGGATTTTTATTGTCAGGGGTGTTCCTTTTTTATTGAAAAATGTCAATTATGACGAGGTTTTATTGTTCTTTAATATTCTTAAAATAATATTTCGGTAATACTATTAGGAAACCGAAGAATTGAGAAAATTTGAAAAAAATGTACTTTGGGTGGAGATGGATAGAATATGTGGCAAGTTTGATAAACTAGTCCAGATCAAAGAAAATAGAAAACTAGTACGAAAAAGTCTGCGCCATTCTGTAACACAACTAGGAATTTATAATTCTTTACCATTTATCCTATTTTTATTAACATTTGATTGTGTGCCACATTACTATTTGCCTGTACTAAGGAAATATTCTCTCGGGTTACGTATGCTTTTGCTTGTTATACACGCACACACCAAATATAACTAGTAAAACTGAAATAAGACACCTTCACCACACACTAAATTCCGGGTCGTACAGCTGTTTACTTCACTTACGCATCATATCGGCGCATGAGTGTGTAGGTAGTTCTCCTTTCTGTATAATATCTATTCTGTGACGATACGATGGTTGAAACGTCGGCACCGCAGCGTTCGAGGAGTCACCTGGACAATCCAAATCATGTCTATCCGCGGAAGACTACGACATCATATAAAACACGCATTTACTTCTATTTCAAATAAACTGCTATAAGTTATTTCTAAATGGCGGATATTGATGACCTAAAAAATCGCTCAAATAACCAATAAAATGCTCTTAAAATGTTTTTATAATCCCTAAAAGAAAAGAAAAGTGACGTAAAACTTTTGATCAAAACTAACAGATGAACAACTCCAGCTGTTGGATAAGTTACTGATGTAATTGAGGTTTCTTCCTTTCGTCCAAGTGAACTCAGCTTGCAAACTTTTGGTTTGGTTCTTTACCAGGAAATCTCCGTCTTTAGTTATCCTGAAAACGGCCGAATAGCAATGGCGCTGATAAGTGACAGTAACCTTAGATTACATACTCACGACGGCTGACATTACAATTTATGAGCGAAGAAATCGAATAGGTTACCGAGAAATTTTGAGGAGAACATTTGTTGCATCTTGTAAATGTTATATGTAGCAAGTACTACTCACAATATAATATAAAATAAAATCGATGAAATCGGCGAAAAATGCTTTAAAAGTGATGGAGAACGTTAAAAAATGACTTATTATTCAAAATCGACAAACATACAACAACTAATGGCATAAAATGGATCATTTGCTTTTGTCATAACAAAAATTAATGTCTGTACTAAAAGGCATTGTTCGAAAAAAAAAGGAATTTTATTAAAAGCCGCTCCCTACTCATTTCTGTTGCTTTATATGAGTTCTGTTTATATATTGAGGGGGGTGTTTGAAACAAGGGGAGTTACTGCCCTAGGCCTTTTGTTTCCTCTGGGCCCCCTTGAATATAGACTGATACGACTGTTTGCCCGTCAGACGAATGGACGTAAAAGAGAGTGACTTAAAACTTGAATGTGCAAAAATGGTATTTGAAGAAAAATCATTCATTAGGTTTTTCATCACCTGCACTTTTGTCAAAGAGCTTATCCTGGCACCTGCGATGGCGGGTACCATCATGTTGACAAATTTTTAATTGTGCTTAGCTAATTTAAAAATAAATTTTAAACACAATAAAGTTGCCTGGCTTGTCTATCCTAAAAAAACAGTTACACAAAAAATTATCGATAAATGTGCTTTTTAAAAATTCGTGTTTCATACTGTAGTAGGCTAACTAACATTAGTATAATGCAATACTAATATTCGTCAATATGATGAATCATGTTCTTCGGATTCACGCTATGCCGGAGAGGCTGTATAGTAATCAACGGCGTTTCACCAATATAAAAAATCCTTAACCGCCTTTAAAAAAACCCTTTTTTATGGTGGAAAGCATTTGAATGTGGTCACCTCCGATGATGGCTTTAAAACTCCCCCTCGTCACGTTTTTTGATACTTCACAACAAAATTAAGTTTAACTACCGCCGTTGAGACGAAACAAGCAACGATTCACGTGTTAATATTGGAAATAAAAATAATTCACAGTGCTTCCCTAATGTTCTTGTAGGTACATTGAAACCATAAAAAACACGTGTTTTCTAGATTATCTTAGAGAGAACTGCTAAACAAATTGCACCAATCAATTTTTCTTGTCGGAAAGAAACGGTTTAGCTGTTGATCACTTCAGTTCGCCACGTAAGTCACCTAAAATGCATTGAAATTGATTAAAGAAACAAAAAAAAAATAAGATAATTGTTTTAGAATTTTCTGGACGGATTTAAATACGAGCAGTTCTCCATCGCGAGACGAAGACGAGTTGCATGCTTTCTAATCTGTCTCAATTGGTGGAGCGAATCTTTCCCCGCAACCACAGCTTGCAACCATAGCCCGCTACCACCATCCACAACCACCGCCCACTACTACCGCCTGCAACCACCGTTCGCAACCACCGCTCATAACAACTACTCACAACCGACGCCCGCAACCACCGCCTGCAACCATCGCCCATAACCACCGCCAGAAACCACAGATCCCAACCACCACTCGCAACCACCCCCTTCAACCACTACCACCTCCTGCAACCTCAATTCTCGCCTTATCAAAAGTATTCGTAAACATAATCTAGTACCAATCACTCCTTCCAGTCTAGTGGAAAGGACAGAGGCACCGCGAAATGGCTCAGAATATTTTTATGTCTTGTGAACGGGATTGAATTGATGAAATAAAAAAAAACTAAAAACATTAATAGGTTGAAATAATAAGTTATCTCTTTTCCACAGGAGAAGAGTCTGATTTATTCCTAAAGGTAACATGCAGTTTCAACGAGGAGCTCTATGAGCTCGTCTTGCTAAGGCAAGCATTCCTGTGTGTGTGACACGCGCAACTGTTTGTCCGTCAGCGGATTTCGCAATTGTGTTGAAGCAGAGCAATTATGCGCTTCGCTGATTCCTCACCATGCTGCATTCATTTCTTCTTTGTTCAAAGCGTAAATTGTCATTGTATAATCAAGAAACATTTTCTTGAACGTTTCCTTCGTTCTCATTAGGTAAAGACTTTAGAATAAACTAATTTTCTTACTTAAATTGAAAATAATATAATGCGCTAATTGAAGGGCTTGGGGCAGAAACAAGATAAGCCACAGCAAGCCTACATCTATTCGTAAATATTCATATCATGATTTTGGTGAAAGTATGAAACGTGTGAATTATCTTGACCCTACACGTTTTCTTCGTAATTATGAAAGTCAGAGTCATACTTCGACCAAAATTGAGATAATTTTACATCCAGTTGGAGGCTTAATGTGTCAGGTTTATCTATTTTTAGTTTAATTTTAATTTATTTTATTTAAATTCACATCAACCTATGTGGTTATTAGTGAACACACTCCAATTTTCATTATTTGTTATAGTAGTACAAACAGTGTAACATTAAAATATGACGTGTATGTTTCATTGATAATATAATGTTTTTCAGAATTTTGAGAAAGTTCAGTTTTTCCAAGTATTTTTGTACAATCCAGTATTGTAGTGGTGTATAAGGAATTGTATATGGGTAATATTGTAATGATGTTTGAGGAATTGAAGGAGGAATACATTTTAGGATTTGATTTTTGTTTGTTATTTAAGGTCGCAACAACTTCTAGGTCATTAGCGACTACTATTGCTTATAACGGTATGGTAACTGTGTGGATGACACGATATGATAATGATAGGGGTGAAAATCTAAATAGAAAGTATATTTTTACGGCCATTCACTCTTTATACAGGCGGCTGATCGAATTTTTACCAATACCAATAACGTAAGATCAGAAACGGTTGTGCCTACAAGACTATAAATATGTGAACGAGGGTTCAACCTGCAACGTACGAACAAAATCGCGCTGAATTTGTAAGTGTTTGTCCAGCAGGATGTGGTTCGTCGATGTCGTCATCGCGTCGTAGGTGTATTCGCGTGATAGTCACCAATTCTTAGCTTTGCGCAGAAAGTTTCATTTACGTATGACGAGGACGTACATTCTGGTGTTGCCTTGAAATGCTGGCAAAGTACTTCCAGAAACTAAAGTGAAACTATAAAAACAACCGTCAGAATAAAATAGAAAATTAGTTTAATTGAGAATCATAAAATATCATTCATGAGACATAATTACGTCACGTATGAATCGAAGATCGAAAATGTGGAAAAGGCCATTCAATTCACAGGCGAATCCAAAAAGTATTTCAGAGGAGAGGTGCCAGCTTCAATTTGGAGATCCCATTAATATTTTTGAAATAGTAATTTAATGAATAGATAAAATAAAACAAATTGACGAGTAGATTCATAAGGGAAATACTTCTTTGGGTGTGATGTAATCTATGGAAGCTATTTTGAATAAATTAAGGGAAATTACAGAAGGTGTTGGCTTGGGGGCCATTGCTACCGTGCCCCCACTCCCTTTGGATCTGCCACTGAGTCCAGAGAAAACCAGGGCCGGCGATTGGTGTTAAGTCCGAAGGGGTTGTTGATCCAGGTGGGGTACCCCCATTTCCACTCCATCTCGCATCGAAAATGTATATGAAAGGAAAAATACAAAATAGATTTACATAGATAAACAGTATTGTATGAGTTAAAGAGCTTCAAATAAAGTTTTCGAAAACTCAAAAACTTTCTGTGAAAAAAAGATCTTCAAATTTCGAATTTATAATTGTCATAAACGCCATTTTCTTAAAAACGACTCCAAATTTTTCAAAGAAAATTGACACTTAGGATAAGGTTTTACGGTGAAGTCGTATGCTTCCGCGGCCTGAGTCATGTGGGTGATCTGGGCTGATCGGGTGACGCCGCGTCGAAGGCTGTGTTGCCGACGTTTCGACCATCTTGTCGTGGTCTTTTGATGAAGCCCAGATCACCCAAGGGTTTACGGTTCTTTAGTTTTTTTTAAATTATACTTCCGTTTTCCGAAACCGACAAATTAGGGGAATTTCAAAACAATATACACATACTTTGGACGGCGATGGATGGCATTTGGCAAGGGTATGTGGCAATTTCGTAAAGCTAGCCAAGACCAAAGAAAATAGAAAACTAACACGGGAAAGTCTGTGTCATTCTGTAGCTCAATCAGTTTCCAAATTGAAGAAACCCCTGTCAATCCGGCTCGAGTCAAGTTTGAAAAACATTCTTTAAATTTTAGAGGTACTTTACATGCTACTCCCGGAACATTTTCAAAATTTTCTCAAAAACGGCTCCAATTTTATCCTTTATATTTGTTGTAAGACTAGAGTAAAATTCATATAAAGGTGGCATATGTCCGAATTTCACTGTTAACTCTGAATTCTCGATGCTTGCAAAAGTTTTAATTTTAACATCTTCCTACAACTACAAAATTGAAGATTGGGACTTTGTCCTTCAAGTATTTTTTTCTCCATAGTTATATCTTTCAATAAGGTCAGGAATATTGTTTTGAAACTTTTAGTAATTTTCGCGCAATATGGCGGGCAATATGTGCAATTTTAAAAAATAACAAAAATGATGTTCTCGAAAATAACTCCAAATTTTATCTTTAAACTTTTGGTAGAGATAATGCGAAATATATTTTATGAGAGGACATACACGCCTTATTACTCTATTCTTTTCTTTTAAAAAATGTAATATTTTTGACTAGCCTCTCATGTCGTTAATATTTTTATTCGCTGCTATTTGTTCACATTATTGCATTTACAAGAACATGTGTTTTAAATGATGCCCTATAAAGTTTCTTGATAACTCAATAGTTTCTGTAAAAACCTGCTCAAAATTCCGCATTTTTAGAAACACTCAAACGCCATTTTCTAAAAAACAACCCCAAATATTTTCTGAAAACTTTTCGGGCAGATAGTTGTTATTGAACTTTTTAAGACGACATGGAATTAATTCTTCTGTATTCTTTGTTTTTTCAAAAATTACAGAAATGTAATTCTTTTTAAATATCTCTCACGCCATTAATGTGGACATTTCCAGCAATTTGTATACATTATTGCGTTTGTGAGTAAAAGTTCTTCAAATGACTTCAACTGAAGTTTTTCGAAGCCACAATATATTCCTGTAAAAAAAGCGCTTGCAATTTCATATTCACACCAGAGTTTAAATGATTTTTCCTTATAATCAACTTCAAAGCTTTCAACGAAAGTGTCCATACAGAACGAGGTTTTACTCTTCTGTAATATTCCTAAAGTAATATTGCGGTTCCACTATTAAAAAACCGAAGAATTGAGAATATATATTCTTAATTCTTCGGTTCATATATTTTGGGCGACGATAGATGGCAGCCGCCAAGAGGATAGGACAAGACCGTGAAGCCCACCCACAACAAGAAAATTATAAAATTTTACCACGAGAGAGTTCGTGCCATTCTGGTGCACCACTAATTCTCTTATGAAAGTAACAGTGTTTCAAACAAAATGTTATTCAGAGTTACAATAATTTTAACAACTTGATTGTATTAAATTTTAACTAGTTCTGCGTATCATAATAATTTTAACAACTTGTTGCGAACTACAATAATTTTAACTGCCAGTTCGTGCGAATCCCTGCGAACTGACTGAATGTCAGTACTTTCCAAAGGGCATTTGAAAATGTTTGTGCCCTGCTCTGAAGAACTTTCAAACATGTGTAACTTTCAGGTCCGAAGAGCGGAAACATCAAGTTAACACCCGTGGTGCTTTTAAAACTGTATGGTTAATAATTCTAATTTACTTACTGATGATAATACAATAAATTGAATTGAAATTAAAACCAATTAACGATGTTCACTTTTTTAATGAAGTTTGTTTGTAAACGATAGTCAAAGATGTTTGTTATTCAGAAGTAGCCTAGAATGCGAATGATTGTACAGTTATTCCTGTTTGAATTACTGAAAATGGCCATGCATACGGAACAAAAGGTATTACCTAAAAAGTGTAGGAATATGTATTCCAAGGAATATACTACATTTGCGGGTCTGATGGAAGATTATCATCTGAAAGTTGTAAGTACAGCATTTGTTTTGTTGGCGATAACGTATTTTATCCACCAGACTCATTATATTTAGTCAAAGTGCTTAATGCTAGAAAATATTAAACTAAACGAAACTGAATTCAGTTCTGAATTAAATTTATTACAAACTGATTTTATATTTTTTTGTAATATGAGTTTCAGGGGAAGCTATTTTCATGCTAAAAAGTAATTCATTAATTTACTTTATTTTTGAAATCATTTGTTTGTCTTTGAAAACATTTGTTTTGAAAACATTTGTTGCCGCTGCACAAACAACACCCATTCCGTTTCCTTAGTGTAAGACAAGAAGTAAAGGAATTGATTCTTTTGATCGAAGGTCAATGACGTTACGAAGTTTTATGTTTCGAGTTCCGACGTTTTACAAGTTACTTGTATGATTCGAGTTCTAGCAGTGATTTCGTCACATATGTACATTAGAATTACCGAAATGAGAATAAAATTACAGAAGAAGAGACTTTTCATAGTGATTTTCATTGTAAGTATGACTGGAGCTATTTTATACGTGAATTCTAACAAACAGAATGACAATGATAATGAAGTTGTTCTATCAACTATCAGAAAAGGAAAATCGAGAAAGGCAGTACACGTGTTCAGTCGCTTAGGTAACTTCGAGTCTAAGAGCAAATTGAAAAAATATGTTGATTCTAGAGAGAGAATCAGTCCCTACTGCATTCTCAAAAATATATCGCAACGTTCGATAGCAAAATACGGAGTAAATATGGCATGCTCGGATAAAATTTCCCTTGACAGACTTATTCCGGACACTCGATTGCATGAATGTAAATATTGGGACTATCCTGTAGATATGCCGAGAGTTAGTATCATTATCGTTTTTCACAACGAGGGCTGGAGTACATTGATTCGGACTATTAATAGCATAATGAACAGGACCCCTAAAAGATTCCTGGAAGAAATTTTGCTTGTTGACGACTGTAGTCAAAGACAGTTTTTAAGAAAAAAAATCGAAAAGTACATCGCCAGATTCAGCAAAATAATAAAATTAGTAAGAAATAAAAAGCGAGAGGGATTAATAAGGGCTAAAAATAGGGGATCCAGGGAAGCTCGAGGGGAAATAATTGTTTTTATGGATGCCCACTGTGAGGTGAATGTTAATTGGTTGCCTCCATTACTAGAGCCCATTTATCGAGATAGAACTGTTATGACAGTACCTATTATTGATGTCATAGATTTGAACAATTTCCGTTATCACTCTGAAAATCACAACGGTGATTATCGGGGTGGATTTGACTGGAGTTTGCTGTACGAGAAACATAAGCTTACAGCGCAACAGGAAAAAAGTAGAAAATATAAGAGCGAGCCTTACGACTCTCCCACTCATGCCGGAGGTCTGCTTGCCATCGATCGTAACTTCTTTTTACGCCTCGAAGCATATGACCCAGGTCTTCTCATTTGGGGTGGTGAAAATATGGAACTATCGTTCAAGATTTGGCAATGTGGTGGAAGTATAAAATGGGTTCCGTGTTCTCGAGTTGGACACGTTTATAGAAAGTTTTTGCCTTATGATTTCGGGCAAAGGAAAAAAGGACCTCTGGATCTTTATAATTACAAGCGTGTAGTAGAAACTTGGTTTGATCCCAAACACAAGGAGTACTTTTACACTCGAGTACCTTTAGCTCGTTTTTTGGACCATGGAGATATTTCAAAGCAACTGAGCCTCAAAAAGAGACTCCGGTGCAAAAGCTTCCAATGGTATATGGAAAACGTAGCGAACGATATTATACCAGATCTTCCCAGAAACATGCATTGGGGAGAACTTCGTAATTTGGGAACCAATTCGTGTATGGATTCAACACTTTTCGGACCACCCAGTTTAATGAAAATGATGCCATGCCACGGGTATGGACATACCCAATTAATTCGTTTAAATGTGGAAGGTCAATTGGCAGTTACTGAATACTGCATTGACGGAGATCACGAAAATATCACACTGGTTTCATGTTCGTCACGTGTTGCTGATGGACCTTGGTCGTACTATGAATCAACACACTTTCTGATTCATCGTCCCAAAAAGTTATGTCTTGTGCAGCAACCTGCAACACATCGTCTTTTTCTCAGACCATGTCATAAAAATAATAATTACCACAAATGGATTTTTCAATCCCTTCGTCCTTGGTGGTGACCTACTTAATATAAAGTTGGTTTTTATTAGCATGTTTGTTTTCTGAACTGCTGAAAGGATTACATTATCGTGTATAATTATTTGATTACTTTTTGAAGTCCATGAAAACATAAACTGTATTATCATGCCAGAAAATAAATAGATTGGAATAATTTGAGACCCTTCATTGTCCTTTATTTATTCTTATCAATTTAAGTTTTATAAAGTCAAACTGAACGAAACTGAGATAAGTTTCTTGAAGAGTTCTAATAAACCAAGGCCTCCTATTCATTATTAACATAAGTATTATACCACCTTTCGCAGAAAGAATTTAAATGAAAATCATAGTTCATTGAAATTTTTATTTCGCCACCAGATATACTTTAAACAAGAAAGGATTTCTTGCGTTAAGAATACTTTCATGCATACAGACAGGCAGTCACACACGTTCCTCGTGGACAAAATTGAGGCAGACTGAGGACTAGGAAGGAATTCAGTATTATTTTGAATGGGCTACGTGAACTCTCATGAATTATGATAGGCCCCACTAAAGCAAACCTACTTGCTCAATGCGGAATTCGATCTTAAAGATCTCGCAGCTTCCGGTTGCCGCTGTAGCCACTACGACACGACATGCAGCATACCACAACTTTTCCCCCTCTTGGTGTTATTACTCAATAATTACTCGCATTTAAAAAAATGTATGATATCATTTAAAGATGTGGAATTGAATGAGACTGTGCAGAAAACATGCAAGTCACAAGAATAAATAAGGTTGAAAATGGCTTCGAAAGTTTGGACATGTCTCAAATTTCGAGTAACAAGAATGTACGCCTAAAAAGATGAGGGGTGTGGCTGTAGATACAACGTTTTGAGTGTTTTCTGTTTTCCATATAGTAAATATGTAGAACTTTTCTAAAAGTTCTACATATTTACTATATGGAAAACAGAAAACACTCAAAACGTTGTTTTATGTCGTGCAGTAAGTATAGTCTCAAATACCAATGAAATGAGGTAGGTTTTTACATAATCTGGAAAAATAAATCAATATTCATTGTCAACACAAAGTTCAACATGTTTCTGAAAGTGTAATAGAAACGTTTCTTTATTTACCAAGATCTATACAAGTGTGTTGTAAGAAAATATGACCAAGAAATCCCACATAATTGTAACCACTAAGTGCATACAGTTATCGGAGTCGAAAAAATGAATTAAAAGAAGTGCTTCAATATCTTTATTTTCCTGTTGCACTGTTGCTTTCATAACGATATGTCGATGGGTTATGGAGTTATGAAGGAAAGCATCTGACATTGTGCGGGCGGCATGTACCATAACTAAGACCCCCGCCCCCTTTGTGCTATTCTATCACTTTATTCTCCTTTTCATTTTATAATCATCTTTTGAGCCGTAAATTTCTCATACTAGTGTATTGTATCTTTGAGCTAGGAATTTTTCACACTTTCTGTTATTCTTTTATGTTTCTTTTGTTATTATTTCGCTTGACAGAATCCGAAATGTCAGCAGAAATAGCTCCTCTGCATGCAAGACATGCAACAAGCTATGTGGGCCGTGTGGTTTCACAATAGCTCAACTGATGAGAAACTAATGGATTCTCTTTGCCCTTAAGGACTAGATACCTGGTGTCAATATCACAAAGCAGAGCTAGGAAACACTGTTGACAAATACAGACACAAAACAGCATACCAGAGGCACTCACGCTATAAAAACAGTTTTCCAAGATCTAAGGGACCCAAATCTCCTAAAAACATATTAATGGTATAACACGAAATATAAATGCAAATGTAAAATGCAAATTCCATTCCAAAATTTGGAAAGTGTGCCCAAAGACAGGCATTTTTGGAAAAAGAATTGTAGAAATTCATAAAGTCATAAAGATTGTGTTATTACTTTAAACAATAGTATGGGTGGAGGAAAAAGTAATGGAAAGTCTGAGAGTACCATTAGGAAATTATTAAATGATTAAATTCTTTAAGAATGAGAATGCCCGAAGAGTGTACTAGTGTACTCGTAAGTGAAAAAAAAGCAAAATTGTCAACAAAAGAGACACAAATGCAAGAAAAAAAGTTCTAATTGGAATGAAGTATAGAAAAAGTAAGAAGGGCGAAGTTATACACCAGGCCAGTTGTAAGCAATACACGTTATTCTATTGAATCTTTAAAACGACAAATTTTTCAAATAAATCATCGGACAATAAACTCCTAGTTGGCGAATGTATAATACCTGCAAAGGAAAACAGTCCTACAACTGGTGTGGATGAACATAAACTAGTATTATAATGAATAAACGCTTTTTTTATTGTCGGGTAATTGTCCAGCATTTTTAATGGTTTAGATTTATCATTCCAAAATAAAAATCCAAATACATCAGCTGAAAAGAGCTTTTATTTTTGTTTCAATAAGGTGCATTCACTAGCGGAATCAAACAAAAAGAAACTATCCTCGTTCTAAACTATTTTCTTCTTCGTCTATATTATAATCATTACCTTTTTAATACATCTACTTTAGTATTTAAATATCACAAAAATCTCTAAAATACGTGCCCAAAAAATTAAAAATATAGTTTCCAAATGCAAAATGTGTTTAAAAAACGTATTTCAAATACAAGTACACTGCTTAATCTTGCTCGTTCATATCTAATCCATAAATACGAGATTCTCTATATTCGCATAATAATTTTTCGCATATCAATTTCTACGCACAATATTGTGTTTATTAACAATTTTTGAACCCATTTCAATACTTCGCACGAACGCAAGTAGTCCAAAGAAGCTACTCCGTCCACACTGTCCTAAAGTAGATGGCGAAAGAAGCGATTGTCACAAAATTAAACACAGCGTTCAATCTCACATTCTTGTTGGTCTACCGTTCTTAACTTTCGTTCTCGCATTTCATGGCCTCAGGAGTCGATTCGTGAACAAGAACAGGCACGGTGTAAGATATATCTTGCAGGTTGAGCAGTGCCGTCTCTCTAAATGGCACTGCGATAAGAGATAAGCAATTTCCTGATTATTTGATATAATTTCCCAACACTGGAGATAAAAATATGTCACTAACCAGCAACTACGGAGTTTCAAATCATTTATGATTCAGTCACAGTCGTTCACGACCGACCATTAGAATATGCGGAGAGCACATGGTGTAAGAAATATATATCTTACACCGTGGAGAGCGCGGTGTGGGACATCGTGATGGAGAGGGAGGTCTAACATTATGTATGGATATTCTTTGGACTACTTTCAAAGACATACGAAAGCATGCGCAAATGTTTAGTTGACAACCATGAATGACGTGGTGCAGTTGTACTGGTTGAGTGTCAGTGGTTAGTTCACATGTATGGGGTTGTCTTCATACCGGATCGTTTCTTGTCAAATGAGTGTGGTGTTATTGATTGAACATACGTTATTTTAAAATGGAAAAGAATTTAAAACTATTTATTTGTGCTGCTGGCATATTTGTATGTTACTTTTATTTTGGCATCCTTCAAGAAAAAATAACCCGAGGCAGTTATGGTGAAGGTGAAAATAAAGAGAAGTTTACTTGTACGTTAGCATTGGTGCTTGTTCAATGTATTTTCAACTATTTATATGCCAAAATAGTAACTGCAACTGTGATGAAACAAGGAGAAGACAGCACCAGAACGCTTTATTATAGTTGCAGTGCTCTAACATACTTGTTGGCTATGGTTTGTAGTAACATGGCCCTACAATGGATTAACTATCCTACACAGGTAGTGGGGAAATCGGCCAAGCCGATACCTGTTATGATTTTGGGAGTTCTGTTGGGAAGAAAAAGTTATTCCATGCAAAAATATCTATTTGTGCTTTTGATAGTAATTGGTGTGGCACTTTTTATGTATAAGGATGGCAAAACATCTACTGAAAGTGACACAATGATTGGCTTTGGTGAATTTTTGTTACTGTTGTCATTGACTATGGATGGTTTGACAGCTGCCATTCAAGAGCGAATGAAAAGTGAATTCCAGACAAAGTCTGGGCACATGATGCTTAGCATGAATTTATGGTCCATTTTGTTTTTGGGTATTGCAGTCCTTTCAACTGGTGAATTATTCACATTTATATCATTTATTCAAAGGCATCCTAGTATAATTTGGCATCTTGTTACTTTCTCTGTTGCAAGTGCCCTTGGACAGTTTTTTATTTTTTTGACAGTCAGTGATTTTGGTCCTTTACCATGTTCTATAATGACAACAACAAGGAAATTTTTCACAGTCCTAGGATCTGTATTATTATTTGGTAATACATTATTGCCTAGACAGTGGCTTGCCACAGTCCTTGTATTTTCGGGTTTGTTCCTAGATGGTATGTATGGAAAGACTGTATCTAAAAAGAAATGATGAATTCTGATTAAACAGCCTATGAGGTTTGATTGGTACTGATATTAAATTTAATTTTATATTTTTTGATTGTAATATTGATTCTAAATCAGGGTTGCGCACAACACACTATTGAACATGTAATGGTACATGTTATGGGAAAATAAATATTTATGTCACAGTATTTGTCAGTCCATTGCATTCTTTTTGTACTACTATTATAGTGGAAAGAATGTGATTATAAATAAAAGCAGAAATCTGTATCACAAGAGGTTCAAGCAGCAGTAATTATTTTTATCTTTTCACGAATTATCTGCCTTATTATTTGTGATAAATGCATAATATAGTAATCAAGCTTTCATAATGCCTTGCTCTGTTTTAATGGACGACATGCTGATCCAAGCATATTAAGATGTACAATCTGACTTTTCACATTCTTTAGATGTACTGCATTTCATCTTCTGTAAGAATTTTGCAATTGTTTCTTTCTCTCTTTATCTCCTGTATGTTTTGTAAGCATGCTAGTCATTATTCTTATCCATTTTTTTATATTCTCAATCCATATTATATTGTTGGTTTTGAAAAGATAATAGAACAGAATTTAATCAAACTTTCGTGTAAAAAATGTTCATGGTTTCCAAAGAAATTTCTTCCAATTATCAGCACGTGAAAATTAAATAATCTTTTTAGCACTTTATAAATCAAGAGGGCTTACAAAGAATGAAAATGGGAGTATTGAGCGGTAGAATTTAATGCTACGATTATTGATTTGAAATGAGTCAAAGCGAATTAATTCATGTTACCATATATTGATACTATTATTTTTGTTACTCAGGTGCTATGAAGGGTTTTTTTATATCTCAACATTTAAAAATTATGTTCTTTATTTAAATTTTATGAATGTACTTGGTTTTAACATATAATTTGGAAATAGGTTGTTCAGAAATTATCAAATTTTGTAGCAAAAGGCTGGCTCTTCTTGATAAGGAGTTTATTGCATACTTCACACCTTAACATATGGGGAAAAAATTGAATGTACTAATAAACCATTTTCTTCTGAAAAAATTGAGCATTACTGACATTTTTGGTTGTTCAAAAATTTAGGTTTTTTGAAAGTATTTTGTAGAAAATTATCCATAATTGCATTGTGCGAATGTTGAGCATTTTGAATGCAATTTTTTCCGTATTTCCATTCCACAGGCTACATGATTGTTACACTTTCTTGTATATTGCAAATCTCATGCCTTCTCAGATCAAACATCTAAATCAAAATCTGTAGCCATATAGCCCTTAAAGGTACTAGCAGTCACATTTCACCTGACAATATAAATTGCTGCTCTATTAAAAGCAAATTTTTGAGATTAAAAGTGACAGTTGTCAAAATCTCTTGCACAATTACTATTGTAGGGTATTTTTGGACTCCAACACTTGTTTTGCACAACCAACACAAATGTTAATCTTGCTATCTGAATACTTGCAAGCTATTACACAAAGCACAAGATGAGAGAATAAGTCGTGGAATTATCTGAAACCCAAGCACTGGGGTCAAAAAGGACCCCAAGATAATAGGTCATGGCGTGACTTCATTATGACCTCAATTGTGCTGAATATAATACATCGGTCTTCGCACATTAAACTTTATTCATTTTCAATTGATTAGCCAAGGCTTCTTACTTTTGCAGTTTCCAGTTGTTTCTTTTAAACGTTGTGGGCTAATGGAATAGAAATATCCTGTGGAAGAATAATTTGCTTTCTTGCGTCATGCCATATCTAAAATTTTCTGTTTGAAATACTTAAAATGCATAGCTTGGATACTGTTCCTGTTATTAAAGATTATATAAATTTTGTTTATATTAGAAATAATGTAATATTTCGCATTCAGAACAAATGAGAAGCAAAACTTTTTGGTTGTCATGACGTCATGTGAATTTTGTAAGTTGATTCTCCTGTTATTTGAGATAGGCCTATTCCATTGGGTTTTATGACTAGTGTAAGAATCGAACACACTATCTTGTTATGTAATAGAGATGGAAAAGAAGTTGGGCTTTAGTGCTAAGAAAGAAGTCGGAACCAGTATGTCAGTACTTCATATGAATGTTGAAGAAATGGTATTTAATATGCATGTTTTCTTGAGCTCCAGGATCCCTATCCTTAAGCTAATATGACTAGATAATTCCAAGAGCTTGCCATTCCCTAAAGATGAACTCTTATTGCACAAGTAAAGGTTACGTAAGTGGTATTCATTTATGCTTGATACCCCTTGTTATTTTCTAATCAAGAAGAAAATATTCACATTCTTTTTATATACTGGATACAAATTTGACAGAAAATGCATCTATCAGATAATACACATTAGATGAAAATTGATTTTACATTCTTAATTGTTTAAGAAATTTTCATTCTATTAATGTGATCAATCTTGTGGCATTCTTCCAAAATTTTAACTTAACGATTAATGAAGATGGGAGCTTTTCACACATTGCCATAAGTTTGCATAATGTGTGTTCATGTAAAGGATAGCAAACCAGTTTTCATTTTAGATTAAATTCTTGACATGGACATTTAAAAACTGATTTCATGAATGCAGCACTAAAAAAGTGACATGTTTTAGATACTAGTTATTCCGACTTAGCATTATTGCAGAAAACTGATATTACAGATATCAAAGTCATTCAGACTTGGCACATACACGTTATGTAATAGCACCTTATTTGCTATTACATCACATGTATAAGTAAAATCAATAATGAACATTTTCACTGAATATCTGCAGATGTAATCTAATACGGATTTTTACTGGATAACTTAAATAAAATAGTTCAAAAATTTTAATTTTGTAAATATAAAGTGCCACTGACCACAGAAATATTGTACAATGTATTTGTTGAAACGAGAATCCCACTTATTACATCGACATATATACATTACATGAGGGAAGACTTCCGACACTACCTGCCCTACTATTTCTTAAAATAGTGACTACAAAGGATGTGAAAATAAGTATATAGATTGATGAAAAATGCATTTCTAATACAATTTAATGGTTTATTTTGTTTATAGCAGAATTATCGACTGTGGTCTCATTTCTCTACACTTAGTGACAATGTCAAGACTTAACAGTTCACTAAATCTGTTTTTCTCTACTATTGAGAAGTAAGAATAATCTTTCCATTATTTCAGCAATTGAAATTACTTCAAATTCAAAAGCATATCATTCTGAATGAGTAGAATTAAAGTTCCTTAGCATAGAGTGATAACATTTATTTCCTCAAAATCATGACTACAGATACACAAAGGGAAAACTGACATTTTGAAGCTACTACAAAATTTTGATTGAAATACACAATCCTAAATAATTTTCCACCTAGAAAAACTTAAGAGCCGTTTTTCAATAAGCTAGTAAACAAAATACAAAACTGCACCTTAGGAAAAATAAGGCATGAAATCTCACTTTCCTAAAACATGGAAAAGCAGTTACAAGATGCTTCCGTCTGAACAAAAACTGACTGGTTTACACTGGGGCTTGGATAGTTTTCAAAGCCACAAGAAGAATTAGATGAAATGTGTGCAAATATCTTATTTTAGCAAGAAACTGACCTTTTCACCTTGGGAAGACAGAAACTAACTTACAGGTGCAGCAGGATCCGTTTAACTGGGAAAAGTAACTCACAAGTGCAACTTTAAATATTTAATGCAACACCAAACATTTTTACATACATTTTCCCTTTTGTAATAAAACAGAAGGTAATCTTTCTAACCACAGATTGTAGTCCTTCATATGAGAGACAAATTGATTTGCTACAAGAGTTTGACACTATTTTACACTTGATATCCTACAATGCTTCTCTTGCCAATGCATTCTCCCACGAAGAACCAAAAGCAAACTTCTGCAGTTACGAGAGTATTCAACCAAGCTTCTTTCACTGTAAGTTGCTTCCATCTTCCTGTTCTAGCTCCTGACAAAATCTTCTGAATTCCAGATCGTATTTGTGGAATATCACCTGGAGTGGGTGGCACCAATTCCACCTTGGCGTATTTCAAAAATGTGTCAAATTTAGGCTTCGCCGCTTCAATTGCATTCTTGGCCAAAACTGGGCCTCTAGTGGTCAGTAAATTCACGACCTTCGCCATTGCGGTTGTGTAACCTACGGGCCAGCGGAATTAGGGAAATGGACGATCCCTCTATGTGCTCTACGTTCTAGCAAAGAATAAAAGGAAACATTTTTTCTTTATTCTCAGAGTGTCAAACACAATATACAATTGAAATGAAACATTTCTAATCATTTTTGTATTACACTATTAAAATAGGCATGTATTTGTTTTAATTTTTCAACTCATTCTATTTACAACTATTATTTTAATGATTTAAAATTACTTTTCAGAAAATTCATGCATGTATTACTTCATCGTGATTTACGTAGTGCATGTAAATTATTGTTTGGTTAGCAATAGGCAAGTGGTAAAATGGCGGTAGAAATACGAATTTAATATTTGAGAGGATAACTGCTGTTTACTTAGACTTATATTATGTTGAAGTGTAAGAATCAATGACAGGTGCTGTATCCGATGGTCTCTCTCACATCGCTATAAGAAGTATTATATTGAAAGTGGAAAAAAATTCTCTGTAATGGCTCACGATCGGAATCAAATTTTGGCCTCTCTATTGGCCGATGTAAGTGGAGATTTGATGAAAGAGATTTCGGGCATTTGTTCTAGTAATGACAGACGTAAGTATTATTTAAATATTAGTTCTATTGCAAGGGGTTGATGTGTAAATTGGTTGCATATACATTCTGGGACCAAGAGATACGATTTTAGTGCATCATACATTATTCTTAGCCAGTAGACCAGTGTTCGTATCTGGGGAGGAGAGAAAGAGAAAGAAAAAAAAAACGAAAATTATTTGTTAAGTGGTGACTACTCTTTTCATTCTCTGCCTCCTACACCTACACCTTCACATCTGCCATTACATTTCATTAAACAATTTTGATTAACTATTTTGTAACCTGCTTTCATTCTCTAATGGGTGTCATAGTTCATATGTTCTGTACTGTTGTGGCTTCACTTAAATAATTCACATTCTATAATAACTTATAAATATTTAATAAAGTGTTTTATGTAATTCCTCTTACATTCTCAGAATTTTTATGAGATCTATTTTGACAATTTTACAAAACTTCATGCATGAAGCTATTTCTCTATTACACTGCTCAAAATTGAATATTTCCATGCTCTGAAGTTTCTTTTATCTGTTAGAAACTTTCTCAATTGCAAAAAAAGAGAAGTAACTGTAGGCACTCACCATTCTGAAAGAGTGGGCAATACCAACTAATCTGTGCCCAACTTTGTGTGGAATGTCCTATTTTTCATGTCCTTTTACCATTATCTAAACCTCTATGTATAAAATAATTCCAACATGTAGAAATGTTAGCTCATTAAATATTTAATAATCTCAAACTTTCCGAACAATCACAGTGTAAGATAACAACATTACTTCTATGAAAACTCAATTAAATTGAATCAGTGACTTGTAAACAGGGCCATGTCATGTTTACATGACCTTCATGTCGGTATAGTTTGATGTGTTTAATGAGGACTTAGTGTGCATTGAATTGGTTTTGAGATTTTGTTGTCTGATTTAAATATTGTGACTTGCGACGGATCATCAGCTATAACTCAGTTATCCAATTGGGAGCTTCTGAGAGATCTGTCAGAAGACAGTGTATTTAAATTGGATAATAGATAAAGGGAATTACAAAAGGGGCCATGACTGGTGACATACTCTGGAGACGATCAGTTTTCAAAGTAATTAATTAGTAAGATGCTAGGGGCTACCACAGTCTTATACAAGAGATTTTCTACTCTAGTCATACCAGATGAGCTCAGACCCTTTTATGATAATACATGGTAGTAGGCAGCAAAGGATTTGATTTATTTAGTGCATAGAGCAGTAAAAATTGTGTGATTCCCTTCCTAACATTTTAACTATAAATGGTTAAAAGGTGAATAGAAGTAAAAAGTAAAATAAACAAAAATCAGTAATAATGAAATAAAATTAAAAAAACCATACATTTGGGGGAAAAAATATAAATTTTTGCTCCCAAACTTCGCTCCCTTTATATAGTGCTTATTTGCTTTGGTAAACGAACTGAAGATTTGATTGTTTTGCATTACAAATAAAATTGTAACACATCCCCTGAATCTAATCCTACCACTTCATGCAAAAGGAGAGCTCAACATTCACATTGTGAAGCTACTTGTCCAGAAGCAAAACAAGGGGTTGGTGAAACATTTTTTATTGAAATTGTATAGTGTACACCCAATGAGAATGTTCAATTTGCTTTGTTTTCTGTTTTAAAGAATAAAAACATTACTTATAGTTTTGTATATATTGTTCAATTGTTGAATAGAAGAATTTAATTCCAATATTTAAGTTTTAGAGGCTGATTATTTCATTTATGCTATTTAGAGAGCTACAAATTAACTGTAGATTCAGACTACAAAAGTGTGTGCTATTTGCTTTTTACGGAGCAACATTATTTTTGATAGAAAATAATTCATTTTTTTGTAGGTGTCAGAATGTAGATTGAGACAATACATTTAATATTTCTAACTAGCATAAATGTGTTTCATTTTTTGTTCTCCAAATAGAATAAACAGAGCCCTTGGAGAGGATATATTTTATTTGTTAGTTTTTGTCCAAGTCTTACTGAAAATTAGTTTGTTAAAATTTATTCATTAGGTGGTTTTTGACACATTTTTCAAACCTGTTAAATTACTGTAAGTATTGTAATTTTAATAGGAAAACAAAATTATTGAAAATTTAATTAATTGTTTTAGTAACAGACAGATCTTTACTTGCACTGTACTCTGTTTATGGAAATGTGTGTGAAAGAGCTGTAGAATTATTGGAAAAGGATTGTGTAACCTTCCTTAGTGACCCAGATGGTATAAGAACTGTAATACAGGTTAGTTTTTATTGGAAATCACATTCATGTAATTATATTTTGAAGTTGTTTGGTTCTTCTATTGTTAGTTCCTCTTTTCTTCCAGGTGACTGGGAGTGGTGGATCATTGTACACATTATTACCTGAAGTGAATTACTGCCCGTGCCCAGCATTTCGTTACCATGTTGTTGGCACCAGAACTGATATGTCTTGTAAACATGTGTTAGCGGCTCATTTGGCTTCAATCATGAATAAAGGTTCAAAACGCTTAATTAACAGTTCAGAAGTCTCAGAACTTTTGGTAAAAAGTTATACAAATGTTCCTACTTTAGAAAATAGTTAAACGAATTATATTATGATTTAAGTTTCTTGATTACTGTTATTAGATTAAATATTTATATAAATGGAATCTGTAAGAAAAATGTCCCCAGAATGATTTGTAAATATTGGAAACATTTGTATACAATCTTCATTAGTCTTTGAATACTTTTAGAATTCATGTTACGTAAACTTTTTGGGTCCTATCAATCATTTCCGATTGAAAAATATTGTATTGTTTATTTGCATTAAAAATATACTTTAAAAATATTAAAAGTGTAGCATTAGTTGAAGGATGAGCTGGGCTATATTAAATTATGTTAATTATTTTGAGTAGTTCTTAATTATGTTTGAAGTGTATAAAAGCTAAAAAAAGTTACTATAAAGTGTGAAAAACATTGAGACAGAGGCATTGAATAAAATATTTGAACTGTACATGTCTTCATTTTCATCTCAAATCAGTGTTGTACCTACAAATTCCAATAGATTGTTTAACTTTGGTATAATTGCAATTCTCTTATTTCTTGATCGTGTTGTCTTTAACTCTCGTAATAAAGAGTGGACTTTCTGAAGATGAAGAGTGATTTAACAATTGGGTGTCAGTATGTCCAGGAAAAATTGCAAAATATATTTAGTTTAGTCATTTATAGCTAGTTTATTCATTTGAATGAAATGAAATATTGTAATACAATATGTAAAATCATACAGTAAATAATATTACAAAACATTGCTAAATACAGTTAGTTGATTTTTCAGTGCTTAATTTCAAACTAAGTACAGGATTATGACCAATTATAGAATTATGAAGTTTATTTATTTCATTATGGCTTGGAATTAATGACTGGAATTTCATTATGCTTGGAATTGATGACCGTTTTGGAAATGCCTAGATATATTTTTCACAATTTCAATTATTCTGAAAAACTCGCACAATCATCAGAGAATTAAACATTTTTTTCTTGTGGAGCATCTATCTAGGAAAGCAGTGCATATTCCATCTTTGTGCTTGAGTGGTTCAGTAACATACATTTGCTCCTTAAATATTATCCAAATCCATTGGAATGTAACAGATAATTTTAAGGAGAAATTTTTAAAATGAAAATATATGGTACTTGTTGAACACATCATCTCTTTGGACAGATTTTTGCCATGTCAAAATCGTTCAAAGTGATTGTTTGAAAATGAAACAAAGCAAAAACTTGTGGGGGAAAAATAAGTATAATAGTAAATAAGTAAATAATTTTTTTTTAAGAGAGTGCACATTTTTCTCAATACCCTCCCCAAAAATTCCAGGGCACATCCAAGTGTACAAAAGTGAAGTTGTAAATCCACCGAAGGAAGGATATCTCAGCAGCTTAAGGGTTAAAATATGATGCGAATGATGTATTTGTTTCAAGCTATATGTCTAAGCATTTTTCCAGTGTTTTCATGGGATGTAGCTGACAATGTGTAGTAAAATCAAGGTTGCAAGGTTGTCTTTCAAAAACATTTTGTTTTAATGATTTAACTGGTAACTTTCTGATGCTCAATTGCTTTTATGAATTGAGAATGAGAGACGGGTTCTTTATTAAAAGATCTTTGTTTTGGAGCAGTAAATGCAGCTTTGCTTTCCCCCTTTCAGTTGTGTATAATGAAAGCATTAGATGTTATAAGAGCATAAGTCTATTCAAGTTTAGAAGAAAAAATTAAGATTAATTTTGTTTTCTGCACAATAAAAAGTATTCAAGGAAGCTCATGGATTGTATGCAATCAGAGCATAGGTGTTATGCACAATTGGATAATCCATGTCGTACAAATTCAATAAAAGTATGTTTGCTACAAGAAATTGAACAAAAAGTTTTTGTAGACTGTGTTTGCCTGATAGATCTTTATTATATTTTTGCACTTTTCATTGAAGTTTCTGGATATGACTTTACGATGTGGAAGAAAGGAAGAATATGTACTTAAATGAAATAGCTACAATTTCCATGTACATATTTTATTTTTTATTCACTTTCATGTTTTGAAGACTCACAACAAACCTTTTCATTGCGTGACAAAAGTAGCCGTGACACTGAGCATTTTCCAGTTTTAGAAATGTCTTCAACGGTAGCACATCCTTTTTCATTTCATTCTTTACACCTATTTTCCAATTTGTTTTAGATTTATGTTCTGGACATCCATAAACTTATATTTTTTGTTGAGATACACATGGCTTAGTTTTGGATGCTTCCTCTTCATCTTATGTTTGGAGAAAACACATGTAAAATTTAATTCTAAATTTGCAACTATTCTTGAAATGTTTCAAAAACATTGTTTTAATACTTTAGCCCAATGATTTCCAAGGTTGATACTTTTTCTGACTTTATTTGTTGGCATTAAATTTTTGCTGGACTGTGGACTCATTTAGATCATTATAATCTGAACTTGTTGAGATACCTGTTAAAGATGGAAAACAGAATATCTGACGTTTTCTCCTTGCATGTGCCATTGCACTTTGTATTCTACTGATATCTCTCTACATAGAGGGAGAAACTTCTGTAGTCAAAATGTTCTTAATGCAATAAGAGCATAAAACATCTTATTCTTTTATTACATCTAGTGCTTCAATTGTTTCTAATTTATGACAGAAACATTGCTCCATATCATATGAAGAATACTGAATGGTTTCAGTTTAAAAGAATTAAATAGTTTTCTAATTGCACCTGCTCTAAAGCCCTTCTCTAGGAGGGATTCAGTTGCAGTTGAACCCTTCTGAGCACTGATACATTTTTTCATCCATGTTAAAACATCCTATTAAAGAAAAATTGTAGGAAGTTTTTGTATATTGATAATTTCAATAGAATCGCAGTTTCTGAAAGGATTGTGGTTGAAAAATGAAACTGAAGATGATTGATAATTGAAATGATTTGTTTTTGACAAAAATCTTGTTTTTAGTTTTGAAGTCTTTTCAATGGGAGGAGGAAACAAATTTACTTTAATGTCTGAATGGCTGAGATAGTTATTAATATGAGAGCTAAACTGGCAAATTCTTGACTTTATCTGAGTTTATCATTTTAATTTTTCTTGATCACTACTTAATCTAAAACACTTGTAAATTGATTTTCAAATATTGTCTTAGGGTTTGATGAGTGGCTACCATTGAAAAGTTTCAAAAAGCATAGCTAGTGTGGCCTTGTGTCAAAGTTTATTTGAGGGTGCATTTTAAAACACACTACCCTCTATGTTGTCGATTTTCTGAACTCTTGTTAGTTAGATAATGGCTTAAAGATAAGTATTATTTATTTTATTTTACTTTCCTTCACTTTCTCTTAATCAAACCTGAGCACCACCATAGTGTTTGCATGTTCTGCTCATATATAATATTAGCAATACCAGTAGTGCTTCAACAAAGCACAAGTTTTTCAAAACTTATATCATGGTGTAACAAATATTGTTTTAAACCATGAATATTGCTGATATATTTTTCTGAACAACAAAACTTGAATTTCATGAAGTTGAACACACAATCCTGAACTACTTTTTTTGAAAACTTAACTTGAAAGTAAAGTTGTTTGTAGGGCATATATTGACAATAATTTACTTTACTGTATAAGCATATTTGTGTAGTTCCCTTCCTGAATTTTGTGAATCCTCAAAATATGCATTTATTGAGACTTTTGGAAGAGCCCTTAATGAAGTGTGTGGAGGAATATATCTATGTTCCTCCATGTCAGGTGTCTAAAAATGAAGCTTCTACAGTAAAATTGGATAAAATAACAAATAACTGAAATGTATGTCATAATTTATATTTCATATTTATTATTATTATTTCATATTTCTTAACAGAGATGTACTTCTTACTATATTTACTGGTTGTTTATCAATAAACTTAGTACAATATGTTTATTTGAAGACTTGCATTATTCAATTTCTTTAAAGTTTTTAGATATAGTATTATGATTCAGTAATTGTAAATTCCTTTTTTTAAACATCTTTGCTCAGAAAAAATCTCTATACCGTAGTTGTAGAAAGATGCTGAAAAAGAAATTTAACATTTATAGTTTTCGAAAATTTAGAGAATTCTTTGACGATGAGACCTGGTGCTGTTTTTTAAAAAGTGATTTCTATTCTATCCAAAGGCAGTAAAAGTTTGGAAATTTTCAAATGTAGAAATTTTGAAAATGTTGAAGGATCATGTAAAATGCCTTGTAATTCAAAAATTAACTATCTCAAACTTGTGGAGCATTGAATTTGTTCAGATTGATTGGAGAAAATAGGCTCAACAGTTAGGCACTAGCGTGACCACAGATGGACAGACAGACAGATGTTAGGCATCAGTTGATTTTTCTGTATCAAGGACCCACAAAATATGGATTCTGACTACACAGTGTGTTAGAGGAAGTAGTTTACTATGTATATATAAGCAAGATTGACACTACTATGTACCATATATTAGATTATATACGGTATTAGACATAATTACTATATTTAGGTATATTTTCTTTGTATTAGATTACATGATTCAACAGAATTTTGGGGTGGCTTTTGTGAAAAATCCTTTATACTGAGAAAAGAGTGAAAATGTCACAGCATGAAAACTAATTTTTGTAACCCCTTCTTTTTTGTTGTTGATAACACAAGCTTTTTTTTTTTGTTTTATTTTGAACTTTTTTTTGACAAAAATAGGTTTTATTCTATAACGTTTAACACATTTTAAGACATTGAAATAAGTTTTTAAATAGTGAAGAATGCTTCTCATTGTCACGTTACTTATCTGTATTTACAGAACTGCATTATAAATTCGCCTTAATGAGCGAGGAGAATGGTTCCACCAAGATATCATGGTTTTGGAATTTAGATACAAAGACAAACAGTCAAGGAATATGATTGGAGAGAGTGTCAAGACTGCTTTGTGAAAGTTTACCAGAGTATAAATGCAAGGAAATATGTGAAACAGAGCCAAGTCCAAAGCAATGAGGAGTGCATTAGATAGTGTAACCATGAAGAGTTCTATTAGATAGTGCCTTATAACAAAATTAACTGTTGCATTCTGTTTCTTGAAAGTACTGTGATTCCCTCATATGAAGTAAACCACACGTATTAACTTTTTGATGTTACTAAGCAGAATGGCACAAATTTTTTTTTTATTCATGTAATGCATTTGCTTTCTACATTCATTAGTTTTCATCAGATAAAATTGAATAATATATGAATTTTAATAATATTCCATGTCCTTTCACATTTTAAGCAAAATAAACTCAGACTTCTGTTAGAATAAGTTGAACTTTTTTTTTAAAACTTATTTTTTTTAAAGGTTTTAAAAATAAGTTTTCATGCCTTGACATTTCCATTGAACTTTTTTAGTATATAGGATATCTGTCAAACATACATACACAAGGGCTGCACAAAACATTCACTGATAATTTAGATCAAAATTAAGGTAAACAATCTAGAAAAGGGACTAAAATTGAATAAAATCAAAATGCTGGGCGTGAAAGCAAATAGGGACGTTATGTCATTGATTTTCCTTCATGTTAAAACAAAATGAACTAGCAATATCAATAATTTTTTCTGCCTAGCAATAATTTTTCTATCGATAAATCGCCGATTTCTGCTGCAACATCAGAATACTTTCTGTTTACTACATATATGAGAAGGCAAGAAAGTAGATCCATTGAAGATGAGTAAATAGTACCTCTGAGCAGAGTATTTTGGTCTTAATGTTTTAACCCTGCTGTACTGTTAAAATTTACTGTATGGCTGTACTTTTTGGATTTATAATGACTATAAATTATTTACGGAGAAAAAGAAAAAAAATGAAAAAATGTTCAAGTGAGAAAAACGCGTAACTAAAATTGATTATTATGAGCAAAATAAAACTCAATATTTTTACACTATCGTTTTTACAGTTTTTCCCAGTTCTTTAACAATATCTACTTTTTTACTGCCTAACAACTTTTCAAATTTTTATTGTATCTGATATTGAAAGAGATTGTCTTTTCCAACCACTCTTTTTCGTTTAATATTGCGGACACAAAAACAGATAGAATACGAACTATATTTCGATTTAAACCCCAGAGCCACTCTGGTGAGCTTGAACCAAAATGTCGTCGGCGGAAGGTCATCATCGAAGTCTCTCCTGAGATTGGGGCTGCAGACACGCAATGGGGACCAGACTGATGACGTTGCGGGACTCAAGTTTCACTGCGGAATCGAAGGCCGTGCCCTGCGTGGTCTACAACTGGCGGCGGCGAACCGCGGTTGGTTGCTTCGGTTTCAAGCTTGATGTTACTTGAGATTCCGCGGGTCAGAGCACGGCGTTCTACAGGAAGCGCTCGATAGCCACTGCCCGGCGACACCCGCCGCGTCGCGCGGAAAAGCGATCAGTTCCATTAGCTGCTTGTGCCGTGCCACAATCGAAAGGATCTCGTATGTTATTACGGCTAGCTAAAGGGTCTTCAGAGAGTGAGACAGTCTGTGCAAAAACTTCCTCACTTATTGGTCATCTGCGCCGTTGCTCTCTCCCGGGTATGTCTTTGACCTTCCCTCGGAGCTAGCCGTCGCCTCCTGAGATCCTCACAGAGCTCCCGTGCGCACCCAACCCTGACATTTTCCCGCTGTGGGAGGTGACCTGGGCCACCAGCCCGCGGGCACGCATCTTGGCCGCTCAGCTGGACCGAGTCGTGCTTCTACATTGCAAGTTTCATCAGCGGGAAGAGGTCGCTCCGCGGGAGCGCTCCGGAGCGTGCGAACTAGAGTAACACTTAAGAGTTAAGTTTCGGACCTCGGCGTAGGCTGCCCCCGCGCCTCACCGGGATCATTTGAACGTTGTAAGGTCTTAAAGGGAGTTTTATTATATACATATAAGTGTGAAAAACGTGTATACTTAAAACACATATCTGAAATAATTTAGCATGGGAATTATCCGGAACCTACAAAAAACAATAACGCATAAGTGAGAAACGTAATAACGGAGTTTCAATGTACTTGAAAAATGAATGTGCTTCATTAAGAACTATACTAACACCATGTATTACATTTTTTTATGCTTTTTTCCTACAATTTGGACAAAAATAATTTGCATGTTTTTTGCACACACCACACAAAATATTTGTTTTATTGTTATTATTTGATGTTCAAAATTTACCATGAGTTCGTTGGTGTTTGTTGGCACAATAGATCCTGAAACAATTGTTGTCACAACTCTTCAGTTCGTGGAATGTGTCTCATGAATATAACAAGCTTGTAAATGAGGATCATACCCAATTTTTCCAAAAATAATATTTTATTAATGTCTTGCAATTCCAGTCAGGATTTATTTTAGTTCACATGATGAAGGCATTATAAACAGAAATGTCCAGAATGTTGTAAAACGCAGTCATTGGCAAATGATTTATCTTTCTCTTACAACTACAAATATTTACAAGCTGACCTCAAGTATCAACTGTGCCTTATGTTGTGTTGTAATGTAAAATTATTGTAGGTATTTTGGCCTTTATGTTGCTGTTGTCTTGGTGCAACATGCTCATAAGAACTACGCTCCTGTTCTTTTTTGGAACATAGTTAAAGTAGTATCTGGCATAAAATGAAAGGAAGAACTATGAACTTCTTTATTGTCCATTTGTTGGGGAAGTTCTGGCAAAAATACGCATTGTACCTAGAATTGACATTTTCCCTTCCAGCAGAAACTATCCCAAATTATATAATGTAAAGAAATTATCACATGTAAGATTATGCCCTTTCAATTCACTGCTTAGATCACATACCACTCTCATGCCCTGCTTTTTTTTTTCTGCTTTCACTCCAGGAAGCTTACCTATGTAAATGTGAGTTTACACAGGTAAATCTGTAAATAAATCCATAAATCCATACTTTGCTTTGAATCTGATAAATGTTCATATACAATAATACTATTCAAAATTCTCAAAAGATTCATTTTAGACTGCCAGGTTGAATAGACCCAAACAGTACATGTGTAACAATGTGATATTATGAGAAAACTATGAAAAAGTTTTGACAATGAGTAATTAAACCAAGTCATAAAGGGTCAAAACTCTCACTTGTCAAATGAACCTTTTACAGAAAAATATTTTTTTCTTGGGTCACATGGACCCAAACAGTACAGCAGGGTTAATACAAGTTTGCTTTGGGGTTGGACTATTTCTTTCTATTTATCTGGCCTAAAGATTTTTCTGTGACATATTGTAGAATGTCCTGATGGAAGTGTTTCTTGAACTGCATTTATTGCTGCTCTGGAAATAAATATAGGAATTCACTAGCTTTACTATTTATATTAGTGTGATATTTTAAATTTTTCTGTTTAAAATATTGGAAAGGGGCTGTTTCAATATATTGATTTAAGGTTATGACATGAAAGAATTAAGAAAAGAATGTGACAATTGTGAAAAATGAAAGCAACAATTTTTGACAAAATGAGTCCTACATTCACACTTCATGTACCATCCCAAATGCTCCTTTGATAAGAAGTTGAAAGCTGTCTCTTCCATTTTTCTAATTTTTATTGATGCCCTTAATATCATCTAACGGTATAATCTCATGTCAGTGTGCTGATGGAGCTTCACAAAAGACATAATTTTCATTAAACTGATAAAAGGGTTGTTTGTAATGTATGCCAATAAGTATGTCAAAATAAGTGGTGTTAATGAGAAACTGTATTGCATGATTTTACATTGTGTGGAGGTGACATATCTGGGGTCAAGCAACATTTGCTGTCCAGAAGCAAAGGCCCATCTCATCATTCACTCTCAGGATTGCTGGAAAATTGGAATAAAGCTGCCACCAACTTCGGGGGGAGAGATCTTAATGACAAGCTGTAACATGTTCTGATGCACATTATAAGAAACTGTAATA